CAGGAGATGCTAAAGGGCTTGCTTTAAAAAGAGGAAGAAAATCAGTGAAAGAGTGAGGAACACAGGTATGAAAAAATGACAATGAATAAGTACCTATCAATAATAACCTTAAATGTAAATGGATTAAATACCCCAATCAAAAGACACAGAATAGTAGAATGGATAAGAAAACATGTCCCACATATATGCTACCTACAGGAGATCCACCTCAGAACAAAAGATCTACACAGACTGAAAGTGAAGGCCTGGAAACAAATATTCCAAGCAAATGGACAGGAAAAAAAAAAAGCTGGGGTAGCAATACTCATATCAGACAAAATAGACTTCAAAAAAAAGAACCATAAAAAGAGACCCAGAAAGTCACTTCATAATACTCAAGGGAAGAATCCACCAAGAAGACATAAACATTGTAAATATATATGCACCCAACATAGGAGCACCCAAATACATAAAGAAAATCTTGGAGGACTTCAAGAAAGATATTGACAGCAACACAATTATAGTAGGGGATTTTAACACCCCACTATCAAAAATGGACAGATCTCCCAAACAAAATATCAAAAAAGATATTGTGGCATTGAAAAATGTCTTAGAGGAAATGGACTTAACTAATATATGGAGAGAGCCCTTCATCCCATAGAAGCAAAATACACATTCTTTTCAAATGCACATGGAACATTTTTAAAGCTAGACCATATGATAGGACACAAAACAAGCCTCAACAAATTTAACAAAATTGAAACCATATTAAGCATTTTCTCCAACCACAAGGGACTGAAACTAGAAACCAACCTCAAGAAAAAAAACCTTAAAATGCTCAAAATCATGGAGATTGAATAGCATGCTATTAAACAATGAATGGGTCAAGAATGAGGTTAGGGAAGAAATCAAAAAGTTTTTGGAAATAAGCAAAAATGAACTCACAACAATCAAAAACTTATGGAACACAGTGAAGGCACTCCTGAGAGGGAAGTTCATAGTGATACAGGCCCACCTAAAAAAGATAGAAACATTTCAAATAAACAGCCTAACCCTATGCCTATAAGAACTTGAGGAACAACAACAAACCCAGAGCAAGTAGAAGGAAGGAAATAACCAAGATCAGAGCAGAATTAAATGACATTGAGGCTAAAAGCACAATTCTAAGGATCAATGAATCCAAGAGCTGGTTCTTTGAAAAGATAAACAAAATTGACAAGCCTTTAAGCAGGCTTATCAGGAAAAAAAGAGAGAGGACCCAAATAAACACAATCAGAAATGGAAGAGGAGAGGTTACAACTAATACCACAGAAATACAAAGGATTGTAAGAAATTACTATGAAGACATGTATGCCGAGAAATTTGAAAACCTGGGTGAAATGGACAAATCTCTAGAAAAATATAATCTTCTAAAACTCAATGAAAAAGAAGCAGAAAGCCTGAACAGACCAATAACACCTGATGAAATTGAAACAGTAATTAAAAAGCTTCCAACACACAAAAGCCCTGGACCAGATGGTTTCACAGGAGAATTTTACAACGCATTTAAGTGAGAGCTAACCCCCATCCTCCACAAGTTATTTCAAAAAAATTCAAGAAGATGGAAGACTCCCAAATTCTTTTTATGAAGCCAACATCATCCTAATCCCAAAACCAGATAAAGACATAACAAAGAAAGAAAACTTCAGGCCAATATCACTGATGAACATAGATGCTAAAACCCTCAACAAAATATTGGCCAACCATATCCAGCAATACATCAAAAACATCATACCCCATGTCCAAGTGGGATTCATCCCAGGGATGCGAGGATGGTACAATATTCACAAATCAATAAACATAATACACCACATAAACAAAACAAAAGACAAAAATCACATGATCATATCAATAGATGCGTGAAAAGCATTTGATAAGGTACAACACCAATTTATGATAAAAACACTCAGCAAAGTGGGAATAGAGGGAGCATTCCTCAACATAATAAAGGCCATATATGAGAGACCTATAGCCAACATCATAATCAATGGACAAAAACTTAAATCTTTCCAATTAAGATCAGAAACAAGACAAGGATGCCTACTTTCACCACTTCTATTAAACATAGTACTGGAAGTCCTAGCCACAGCAATCAGACAAGAAAAAGAAATAAAAGGCATCCAAATTGGAAAAGAAGGAACAAAACTGTCATTGTTTGCAGATGACATGTCAATGTATATAGAAAATCCTATAGACTCCACCAAAAAACTACTGGACCTAATAAATGAATTTGTCAAAACAGCCAGTTACAAAGTCAATATTCAGAAATAAAATACATTTCTGTACACCAACAATGAAACATCAGAAGCAGAAATCAGGAAAAAAATCCCATTTGATATAGCAACAGGAAGAATAAAGTACCTAGGAATAAACCTAACCAAGGAGGTAAAAGCCCTGTATGCAGAAAACAATATAACAGTGAATAAATTAAGGAAGACACAAAAAATGGAAGTATGTACCATGCTCATGGATCAGAAAAATTAACATCATCAAAATGGTCATACTACCCAAAGCAATTTATAGATTCAATGCAATCCCTATTGAAATACCAATGGCTTATTTCACAGACATAGAACAAACATTTCAGAAATTTATATGGAACCATAAACAACCCCAAATAGCTGCTGCAATTTTGAGAAGGAAGAACAAAGCAGGAGGGAACACAGTACCTGATATCAAACTGTATTACAAGGCCACTGTAATCAAAACAGCCTGGTACTGGCATAAAAACAGGAACATAGACCAATGGAACAGAACAGAGAGCCCAGAAATAAACCCAAGTCTCTACAGTCAATTAATATTTGACAAAGGGGGAATAAGCATAAAATGAAGCAAAAATAGCCTGTTCAACAATGGTGTTGGGAGATGTGGACAGCTACATGCAAAAAAATGAAACTCAGGCACCAACTTACACCATACACAAAAATAAAATTCAAGGTGGATAAAAGGCTTAAATATAAGTCATAACACCATAAAAGTCATAGAGGAGAATATTGGCAGGAAAATATCAGTCCATGCAGCAGCATCTTCATGAATATGTCCCCTAAGCAAGGGACATAAAGGAAAGTATAAACAAATGGGACTTCATCAAAGTAAAAATCTTCTGCATGGCTAAAGAAAACAGCATTAAAATGAAAAGAAAGTCAACCATATGGGAAAACATATTTGCTAATTACACCTCAGACAAGGGCTTGATCTCCAAAATATATAAAGAACTCACACAACTGCACTCCAGGAAGACGAAAAACCCAATTGAAAAATGGGCGAAAGATTTGAACAGACACCTCTCCAAGTAGGACATACAGAGGGCCCCAAGACACATGAAAAGATGCTCAGCATCACTAGCCATCAGAGAGATAGAAATTAAAGCCACAATGACATACCACTTCACACCAGTTAGAATGGCCATCATAAACAAATCAATAAACAAGTGTTGAAGAGGATGTGGAGAAAAGGGAATCCTAGAGACTGGTGCAGCCACTGTGGAAAACAGTATGGAATTTCCTCAGAAAACTAAAGATGGAACTGCCTTTTGACCCAGCAATTCCACTGCTGGGATTATACCCTAAGAGCTCTGAAACACCAATCCAAAAGAACCTATGCACCCCAAAGTTCATAGCAGCATAATTTACAATAGCCAAGTGCTGGAAGCAACCTAAGTCCCCATCAGCAAATGAGTGAATCAAAAAACTATGGTACATTTACACAACGGAATTCTACACAGCAGAAAGAAGAAGCTTATACCCTTTGCCACAGCATGGATGGAACTAGAGAGCATTATGCTAAGTGAAATAAGCCAGGCGGTCAGGGATGAATACCATATGATCTCACCTTCAACTGGAACGTAATCAACAAAAGAAAAAAGCAAACAAAATATAACCAGAGTCATTGAAATTAAGAACAATCTAACAATAGCCAGAAGGGAGGCGGAGGGGACAGTGGGAAGAAGGGTTTTCAAGAACTACTATAAAGGACATATGGACAAAACTGCGGGGGAGGATGGAAGAAAGGGAGGGAAGTGGGTTTGGAGGGGGTGGGGGGGATGGGTGGGGTAAAAATATGGACAATGGTAATTGAACGACAATAAAATAATTTAAATTAAAAAACAATATAGAGATTATACAACTAAGTATGTCAGGCATCATAATTATTGTGTACTGACTAAAACAAAGACTCTGATTTCAGTTATGATATAAAACCCAGACATAAGGTATTTCTAGAAATACACAGAAACAAAGTTACAAAGAAAGATTGGAAATTAAGGGAAGGCAAACATATGCTAAACAAATGCAAAGGGAAACAAATGAACTTCAGTATTAATATCAACTAAAATGTAACTCAAGGACAAAAGCATTAATAAAATCAAAGAAGAAAATATAATGAGAGAAAGTTAATCAATGAAGAAGTTATGTATAATTCATAAGGAATAGATAAACAATATAGCAGTCACATATATAGCAAATCCCAGAAATACAAGGAGATATTGATGAAAATTTTGGTGGGGGGATGTTTTAAATATCCTTTCAGAATTTGGCAATTCAAGTATATAATTTAAGATACATGGATTTAAAAATACAATAAAATACATTTTTCTTATGTTCCTGTAATATGCAAATCAATCAGATAGTTGACATAAGATAGAATTTGCTAAATTTTCCAAAGCAGAGATTTTTTTTTAAACTTTCAAACAGGAAATCAGTAATAAAAACATTTCTTTAATCCTCTAATTATTGGAAAATTAAGAAACCTCTTTCACATAATTCCTGGTTCAAGAGGAAGTCAAAAATTGAAATCACAAATTAAGTATCCAAAAGAGAATAGGAGAAACTTTATATCAAAACCTACTGGATACAATTAGAGCTATGTTGGGGGGTCGGGTGGGGATTTATAGTGTTGAGAGAAGACAATCATATGAAGTCACGAATATCATATCTGGAATAATTTGAACATTGGTTTTCCTTGACTTTTGATGAAATGGCCCAGTAGGCCCTTCCACTGATTTTCAGATTTTCTTCATGTGGATCATTTTCCCTTTTCACTCCATCCCCTTGTCAACATCACAGTAAGAGTGAAGAAAGTGTTCGAGAAGTTTTCTGTCTGAAAATTATGAAGAAAAACAGGATGAAACTTTCCATTTAAGTATTTAAGTGCTAAGTAGAGAAATTCTAGGAGGGAGGCAGATGTCTCATAATAGAACTCTATGTACAAATTTGATGAGCCCAAAATAATCAAAGGATATTGTGTCTAATAGCTAAAAAGGCACAGTTGTGTGACTATTGATTCAAAAGAACAAAGTTAATATTCAAGGATTGGCAAGACTTCGTGGAAAAAGCATGGGTTTTGGAATAAAACAGAGGTAGGTTTCAGTTCTGCACTGGCAAGTATTAGCAGGTCATTTGGCCTCCCCTTTATAAAAGTATTTTTCTCTTTGAATACAGGCAATAGTATTCACCTTGCACAGGTGTGGGAATGGATTAGGAATGCTGTGTGTGGGGCACCTAGACAACGCCTGGTCCATAAAGGCACTTGGTAAATGCTATAGTCTTACCCTTCCATTATTGGATTCACAGTAGTAAATAGTGGTGATAAATAACAGAGACGATTAATCCAAGAGTTCCATAGAAGCCAGAACTGTTTTTGTTTCCACCAATGTTGGTAGGCTTGGCTGGTTTTGAGTAATAAATTACCATGGAAAGGCCCTTCAACTCCCTTGCCTCCAATCCCTCATCTGGAAAACACAGAATCTTGCCTGGCCTGAACATCTGTGATTCCCTAATTCTAATTACATATTTTTAAATAGTACAGAGTGGAGCTGTAAAACTTTGCTCATGCCTAGCAGTCATCACCTGTGCAGCCCAAACCAGAAGAACCAAAAGAGAGGAAGAATTGAAGTGATAACATGCTATCCTGGTTTATGTTAAAAATGGCAGCTGGGATCTGTAGCTCAGGTGTATGTGTGTGTGTATGCGTGTGTGTTCCTGTTTTCTGTACAATTAGGTTTGCATTTGTTTGTTTTTGTGACCTCCATTTAATTCTGATCCATTCCTGTGCTATCCAGACCTTTGTTGACCTCAGCATTTTTTAAATTAAAAATGTACACTTTATGAAAAAAAGTGCACTGCACTGCTCTTCCAGTGCAACTCGATGGCTTGACACCTGCATACATGCAACCTACACCCATATAAGAGTGTAGATCATGTCTACCACCCGGAAAGTCCCATCATGCTCCTCCCCAGTCAATACCTCCTAGCTCAGGACAGACAAGGTGCTGATTCTCTCCTCATAGATAAGTTTTGCCTGTTGTGGACCTTTGAATAAATGAAACCATACAAAATGTATTATTTGGTATCTGGCTTTATTTACTCAGCACACTGTTTTTGAGGCTCATACCTTGTACTGAATATATCTAGAATTCATTCTTTTTATTATCTAGTAGTATTTCATTATATGAGTATATCACAGTTTGTTTATGACGGAGATCTGGGTTGTATCCAGTTTGGGACTATTAAGAATACAGTGATTCTAAACATTTTTGTACAAGTCCTCCTGTGGGCCTGGGTATTTTATTTCCTCTTAGGTAAGTACCTAGAAGTGGAATTTCTGGCTCATGGAGTAGATATATGTTTAACTTGGTGAGAAACCACCAGATCTGTTTCCAGAGTGATTATACCATTGTACAACTACCAGCAATGCACTGCTCCATAGTGTCAATATTTACTATTGTCAGTCCTTTGCATTTTAAGCCTAAAATGTCTCCATTTTTCAATCTTATACCAAAGAGTTGATTTTAAGAGAAGCAAAAAAAAAGTTTGTTGATACCAAAGATAAGCTTATTATAAGATGAATCAAGTTTGGCATGAATTAATTAAAAAGATGAGATTGTCTCAAATTTAATACCCTTTTAAATAACTGTTCAGAAAGACTGCCAGTTGTAATCCAAATATCCATATTTATTACATATAGATGCGACTTAGGCCCCTGTGATTTTGTGTATGCTGTTCCTTTTGCTTAGGAATGGCCCTGCTTCTCCTTGTCACATGGTTCATCCTTGACGCTTAAAGAAGGCCTCCTCTGAACAGCTTTCCCTAACCCACTGTCAACTCACAAGCTTGGGAGCACCCTTTGCAGGCTTCTCATGGACCTAAAGAGTACTTCGATTACAGAGCTAGGATAACTATGTACTGTCTCCCACCCCTGACCCTCAGTTCCCTGAGAAGGAGGATTTACTCTTTACATATCTTTGTATCAAGTGAACATTATAGATATTCAACCAATGAAGTGTATTGAATGGGTAAATAAATGCATTTTTAATAATACTGAATATACCCTAGGAAGAAATACCCTTTCAATAGACATATCTATGGGAATTTTAAGTGGGGAAAGAGATGGGGAAGAAGTCATAGCTGAAAAATTCTGAAAAGCAGATTTCAGATAATTTTGTCTTTCAAGGGGGGAATAAGTGGGGAAATGACTGTCTTTACTGGTACATTAACAGAGGCCTGAAGGGTAAGCTGTTGGGTATCTAAATCACTTGGAGATTAAAGCCATTTTGAAAACAGAATGGCCACTACAGACATCTAGCTCAGCTTCTTCAAGCTGTATATGCAGAAGAAACTCATACCGACAGTGACACACAGAAGCAGTAGGAACAAACGGGTCACCATCAGCCTCTCCTCCTTCCTTCTTCCCAAGCTTTATTTTGTATCTTCCTGAAGTTTCCTCCATCCCCCCTCACCCTGCCACCCAGCACCAACTTGAGCCATGGTGCTGATCCTTTCCCCTCCCTTCCCTCTTTTAATCTATACCTGAAGAGGCTTCTGTACAGTCTAAGAGGGATAATCCCATAAAATAACAAGCTGAGGTGATAATAAGTCAGCTAACACATCTGCCAATTTTTATTTATTCCCTTGTGTGCCTACTCAGACCTACCACTACCACAACAGAGCTCAGCTGAGACATTCACCATCTGAAAAGCATTAGCATCATCCCAGACATTGGAAAATACAAGAGGTTTGGGGCTTCAGAATTCAAAGGGAACCTCCTATTTGCTTGTCAGCCTCTGGCACAGCTGGCTTTGATGAGTAGGCCATTCTAAAACAAAGCTATGAAAGAAAAACTAGAACCAACTGGAAGCAGATCCTACATGACCCAAGCCAGTGCAAAATGGCAAGGCTGTGGGGCCTTAGCATTGGGGTGCCTGCCCCCAGTGCTGTCTTAAGGGAACCAGGGAAGCAAGCCAACTAAGAAACCAAAGCCTAGACCAGCCCTAAAGCTGCCTTGTCAGCTAACAGGTCATGTCTCAACTGTCAGGAGAGAAAAGCCCAACGAGGGAACAGTGTTTCTATGAAGGATCAACTTACCCAAGGAATCTTGGAGAAAGCCAATCCAAGTGGAGTAGAGGCTACCAGAGTACTCTAAGAAGTTTTTATTCACCCTTAGGGGATACAGCTGAGGCTCCAATTGCAAATGACACGCAGACAACAGATAGAGGGGCCCGGCGGCCAGCATGGTTTTCACATGGGCAGAGAAGGGACAACACTGCATGTTTCTGCTCTGTCTCCTGGGAAGACCTGAGCAGTGACCCTTTCAAGGAGCCCCTCGATGTCCTTGTAAGCTGTCAGACTGGCCCAGAGGCATCTGTTAGCAGGAATGAGCACCCTGTGGGACTTACAGACTTCTGCTTCTGCCTTAGAGAGAGGCAAAACATCTGCTGCTGGTACCTCCTTGATACTCAACACTGAAGCTCTGTTAGGGGCCTTTGGGGCATCAGCCCTCAGTCTGTGAAGGTGGAAAATACCCCCTTTCCCTCAAACACACACACATGCACACACACAAAGCACACATAAGCACATTTACATCCCCTTTCAGTCTTGCCTCCAGCAGCATTTCAGTCTGGTGTGGGGTAGCCCAACTACCAATGAAAGAAAGTATTTCAGCAAGGATTTCAGAGGAGCCAGCTCTTCTGATCGTGGCCATGAACAGAAATTGGGGACCTGAGAGAGGGAGGAGGCAGAGAGCAGGGGGAGGATTGCCGAGTAGCTGGTGAAAGTTCTGAGCTCAAACCTGACCACAGGGCACAAAAGGAGGCAGTGACCCTCACACAGGCAGGAACACAGGTAGGGTGAACTAGACGGTCCACTGGGTGCAAGCAGAAATACTAGAACCTCTGTTACATTTCTTCTTATTTCCTTTTTCACATTTTGTCTGCTTTATAATGGACATAATACATTACTTTGGTGGTGTATGTATATACTTTATATAAATGTCTGCATTGGGCCATGTGTTCAAAAAGTAGGGAGTAATGCAGGTCACAAACACTAGCATTGGGTGCTGAGAGGCTGCTGCCAAATGCGTGTGGCTTCCTGTCCTCCAGCTCTTATTCTCTGAGGAAACATTTTACACTCTTGCATTGACCAGTTGCCCCAAATGAGCTGTTCCCAAGTTGATTCCTGTCACTAGGCCTCCACCTGGGGTGAGTCCCTGTTATGTGGAATGAGCCAACATGGTCCTATGCATGGTGCTTGCTCTCTTTGAGTATATGGCACATGAGGTACTCAGGTACCCTAAAAGCCTGTCACAGAAAAGTAGCACCAAACAGGAAATAAAGATTACACCAAATAAAACAAAATTATGAGACAGTACACACAGGCACTGGAGAAAGCCATTAACTATGAGAAAAAGTCGCCCTGGACCAATTTGAGCACAGGCGATTGAAATCAGAAATGTATGGAAAGCTCTGTTTTCTTTTTAATAAGTGGAGATACAGTTGCTGGGGCCTCTTTTAAAGAAAGTTTATTTTCAATGGGTTGAAGTTTGCACAAAAAACATGGATTTTTTTTTTGAGGCACTATTTTTGTGTGTGTATGAACATTTAACTTCCATGGCCGGAAGTTGGAACAATTTCTATTTAGTAAAGCAATGTATGATGGCCTGTAAATTCATGAACAAGTAACTCAAGACTTCATCTTACCTGTGTAGGAAACACTTTGCAGGTACTCTGTTATTTGAGAAGGAGTAAATGAGTTCAAGATCGTTAGGAAATCCAGGTAGGCTTTGCCATAATCACTCTGGTATGTGGTCTGCTTCTTTGTGCGGGCCTGGCTCTTCAAGTGGCTGTGCAGCACAGAAGGAACTAGGGGACACACAGGAAAGAAAGACGTGGAGGCTTTCACTGAGTGAGGAACTCCCGTCCTTATCTGTTGAGCATGTCCCCAGAGCCCTGAGCCCCACCTGGTGTCTACTCAGCATCCTGAATGGCTCTGGAATGGGAGGTGCTGTGTGAGTGACTCAGGAAGCCAGAGTGGCTGGGACTCAGCACTGTGCTGTGGGGTAGGAGGGGTTGGAGATGATAGCCAGAGGTTGCATTTGACTACTGTTTTCAGAGAAGTTTTTCCTGGAATTGCCTCTTCTGCAGGTCAGCATGTTAGGATGGTAGCATTTACCACCTGCTTTGTTACCCTTTCATGCCACCTCCTGGGCAGACTGGGACTGACACATAAAGGGGCCTCCCCTAGGTGCCTTAGGAGGAGCAGTTTGGAAGAAGGACAACACCTGCAGTCAGCACTCATTGCATTTTCAGACTAATGGAGGTATGAGGTGCAGACCACTTACCTTCAATTCTGAATGTTGCTTATTTAATGTGGTTTCTGGGAGTCATAAGTTATTTTTTAAAAAGCAATGAAGATGATGTGAGAATCTGTCCACAACTTTTCCAGTCTTTGTAAACTTTAAGAATACCTTAAATACTGCTTAAGCTCCAGGTGTCTCCTTGAAATGGACCATTGGCCAGATGAAGGGACCAGCTGGTGAGGGGACTTGATGCCACATCCTAAGAAGAGTGTTTATAGGGTCTGGAAACACTTTAAGTGCAGGAGACTTAGAAGGCATACATAAGGTTTTCACAGAACAATAGACTTATACTCTGGAGGAAGAAGAGAACCAATGGCTAGAAGTTGAACAAGGAAGAGTCTAGCTGTTCAGAACTTTCGAAAAGCTACTAAAATTGCCACTGAAATATCTAAGAATGAAGGACCTCCTTGGGGATGAGCACTCCCCTGAAGAGTTTAAGCAGAAATAATTCACCCCTTGGCAAGGATAGTATAGTCGTGACTCACATAGGACATGTGGTCCAGGGGTGTCCAACCTTTTGGCATCTTTGGGCCACACATTAAATACATTGTAAAATATAATCACAAAAAAATCTCATAATGTTTTAAGTAAATCTACAATTTTGTTTTGGGCCACATTCACTGCTGTCCTAGGCTGCATGCAGCCTGTGAGCCAGAGGTTGGACAACCCTGATAGACCAAGTAACTTCTCAGCTACCTTCTAACCCCAGATACTAAGTGTCTGTTCAGTGACTTCTGTGTAAAGTACTACTTGGTCCTAACTCCATGCCAGGAATCAATCACTATCCCAGAATGACACCCAAAAATCTTCTCAACCAACAGTTTGGAGGTGGCTGGGTCATGGAACTTTTAAAAACTTCTCTGTTGAAAACAAAAGAAATCCGGGTTATACATGTACACAAATACACACCCCTCTAATCTGAAGATGCTTGAAAGTTGTGCCTTGTGGATAAACTTTCAGTGAGTAATTGACAAGACTAATTTGATTTCCTCCTAATCCTTTCTCTGTCAATTTATAGCAAATGAATCCTTCCTTTCATGTAATAATGGAGGGGGTGTACCCCAAACCCAACACCTGCTCCTCCCAGGATATATCCTCCTGAGGATTTACTCATTTCCTGAGTTTGAGGCTAGGTACCATAGAGGCATAGCTTTAATTCCATGCAGGGATCACTGGTACACTTTGCCACTGTTATTAAGATCAAGAGGAATCTAAGAAAGAAGGAGCTCCTACCTTTAATGACAGCATGGATGGAACTGGAGAGCATTATGCTAAGTGAAATAAGCCAGGTGGTGAAAGACAAAAATACCGTATGATCTCATCTATAAGTGGAACCTCATCAACAAAACAAACAAGTGAGCAAAATAGAACTAGAGATGTGGAAATAAAGAACAAAATGACAGTGATCAGAGAGGGAGGGGGATTCAGGGGAAAGAAAGGAAAGGGTCAACTAAGGAACGTGTATAATGGGCCCATGGACAAAGACAACAGGATGGGGTGGTGAGGATTGAATGTAGGAGGGGGGTGGGTAGGACAGGGGAGAGTAATAGGGAAAATGGGGACAACTGTAATTGAACAACAATAAACATACTTTTTTAAAAGATCAAGAGGAATCTTGAGGCAAGGGGAAAATATTTGTGAAGTTGCTTTAAAAGCTATAGGTGCACTTACCTAGACCCTGAGAAGCAATTGGTAGACTTGAGTAGCATCCATACTTGAAACTAAAGTCCTGAAACTCAGGAATTTTAGCTGGAACTTGGTAATTACGTCGAAATTCAGTGTCTGTGGCATGGGGAAGTAACTTTTTCCATTCTAGAAACATCTGAGAACTTTGCTTAATCTTCTGAGCTGGGGTAGGGGTAGAAATAAAAGGCAATGATTACTCCTTCTCAGCTACTGCTAAATAATGTCATACTTTCATTCCATTTTGCTTTGGTAGTAGCTTCCAATTTATCACACTAAACCTCATTCTTCTTGTTTTTAGAGGTGTGGTCAATTTCAACCAAGAAATAATTTTCTGCTTTATTAGGCACAGGAAGTATGTGCTCAAGTGATTAGAAGTAGTTCCTGATGAATGCATTTTATATTGGTTAGGAGTGTTCTGTTCTGCTCTGAAGGCACAGAAGGCAGGGGTAGGGAGCACAGGGAGAGAGATTTCAGATAGGGCTGATCTTACCATATAAAACACAGGATGCCAATTAAATTTGAATTTCAGATAAACAATGAATAATTTTTTAGTGTAAGATTATATAAGTTTTTGGTATTTATCTACTATGTATCATCCCAATTTAACTGGGCATCCTGTATATTTATGTGCTGCATCTGGCAGCCCTAGGTGGAGCATTGCATGTCATTACCCTTACCTGGAAAGAACCATTCAAAGCTTACCCCCTACTGATGGAGGTGTAGGTAACATCATTGTCATTAGTGGACAACAGCACTATTACTTCTTTGAAATAAGTCTGCTAACAAACATTCATTAAATCTATAATCATTAGATATTTATTAAGCACTGACCAAACACCAGGTGCCATAAGCACTCTACCAGATTACAGAGAAGATGGTCGTAAGCTATCTCACTTAGATGAGTTTTCCCTTAGTTCTGGCAACAAAATGTTGGTGCACAAGCACATCACACAACCCCAGCTTCATTCGGGACCAAGATGTTGAAACCATGGATGTCACAAGCAGTGTCCAAGCAGTGCCAAGTACTATTAAAAGTAAACTCAATTCTTGTTCCCATTAGTTTCTCAAGAAGTTTTTTCAAAATACATTCAAATGTACATTGTATATCAAACAATATGTGATATCATCTACTGGCACCCAGGAGCATTTTATTATTGATTTTTTAAAAATGATCTCAGTCTCAATCAGCATGCTTTTGATTTAGACAACTCAGGAAGAGAGGGTGTGGGTACTCAATGGCCCTCACAATGAAGCCATAAGCTGCCCACAGAGAAGACAAGGTTACAGAGAGGAGGAAGCTCTAGGGCTCAAAATCAGAGATCCCTTAACATATTTTTGGAAAACTATCTGGCATTGTTCCTAATGAGTACCATCTATAACTTGATTTTTGTAAATTACTAATAGCTTTATAGGAGAAAAATTCCTGTTGAAATACTTGATATTACTACTCAAAAGCAAAGGTGTTCAGTTCCCATATGTGTTCTGTGTCAAGACTAAAGATAATTAAGCCATTGTCTTACCTTAAGACAACCTCAAACAAGTATGATTAGAAAGATAGATACTGGACAAACACATATGGAATGTGATGTCTTGCAAGCATGACACTTAGAACAATAGTTAGCACATGGATAATCCATCATAATTACCTGGATGGTTTTTCCAAATCATACCTGCTGAAACCTCATCCCAGACACTGAGAGTCTCTAGAAGTGGGACCCAGGCACTTATATTGTGAACAAGCTTCTCATACACTTAAGCATCATTGACTCAGAGCCTTGAATAAGGTGCTGCAGAAGCCCAGAGAGAATGTAATGAGCTCTATTAGGGGAAGGGGAGGAAGACAAGAATTAAAAGGCAGACATAGCAAAGGGCATGCTTTGACAAAGAACTAACACTGAAGCAAAATGTACACAGTGTGTTCGTGAAATGTAATCCGGCTGGTGGGAGTGTAAGGTATGCAGAGTGGGGAGAAGTAGCTGAGGGTGTAGCAGGAGAGACAAATTAGAGTCTGGAGGGGTTGGCCCATGTGGACCAGAATGGACCAGCATAGAAGTAGAGTGATTGGAGATGAAGACCCAGGAAAGACAATAATCAGAGCCTAGACTTACTAGAAGTTCCCTTGAAGATAAAGATTAAGTCATATTCTTCATCGATCCTTAGTACTTATCACAGTATTAGACCTCATTAAATATTTACTAAATTAATGAGTGAACAAAAGAAAAATCAAAACATAATTGCTGTGGATTCGCAATTAATCTAAAGCACACACTAATGACTGCCTATGTGATGTATGCTTAACATAATTCTTCATTATTAGTTCTTCTCAACTAATGCTTTCATTGCCTTTATAATATTTCATGTTAATGAGTTCCTTTGGCATTATTAAGAGGAGAAGTTCCTGCTACATATGGGCCCAACCAACATCTGAAGGACCCTTAATGCTATTGAAGTACAGACAGACAAGACAACCTGGCCCAAAGCTAACCACCCCTCCAAGGTCTGGATTGTTCCTGCTTCTCAGGAGCTCAGGTACTGCTCATTTATTTTCCTCTTGATAACAGTGACATATACTGCAGCCCTTATAGCCCAAAGAGAGGAACTGTCCCCTTTGAGATTAGGTATGACATCTGTTGAAAGGCCTAGTCCAAAGGTAAATCTACAGCAAGTACTATCCAAAACCACTAGGACCCTTGGCACATAACCTATAGCCAAGTGAGAACCAGTTCTGTTGCTTTTATCTGCTGCTCTAAATCATCCAAGCAGTGTTCCCCAAGCCTGAATTTCTCAAGAAAACAAGCACCTTTTAGTGATTCTCACTCATTCACCACAAATTCAATAATGAGGATATGCAGGTAGGACATGATCCCTGAGCTTCTGAAGCTTAACGTATTTAGAGAAACAGATACAAAAAAGATAATTACAATATTATGTGATAAATGCTACAGAAGAAGAGCTATAAAAACATATTGGAGGGCCATCAATACAAACTTGGAGGATGAGAGAAGACTCCTGGGAGAGAAATGGAGTTTGCGTTCAGATTTAAATGATGGATGGACATGGGCTAAAAGAAGGAAGGGAGAGGCAGTCCACAGGGAGCAGCAGTATGTATGAGGCATGAGGCTGCAGGCAGCTGGGTGAGTCTGGAGAACAGAAGGAAATCAGTCTCATAATGTGGGGACTGGCAAGGGAAATTGCTGGAGCAGTGGGCAAGGACCATAGTGTACAGCACCCTAAGAACAATGAGGAGTTATTGGAGAGTTTCAAGCTACAAGGTGATGTCAATTTCACACTGGAAATTCACTATGGCTATAGTATGGACAGTGTACTAGAGGAGATAAGAGCACAAAAGGGAGTTGGATTGGAGGTCATCCAAGGGAGAGACATTGGCACCCTAAACTAAGGCAGTAGCTGCAGGGAGGAAGAGAAATGGGTGGAATTAAGAGATTTAGAAGGGTGTCTTTGAGAAGTCTTTGGTATTTACTTAAATTAGGGGACATGGTAATTTGCACATGCTGAAAGAACAGCTTTGATTGGAAGTGCAATGCCATCTTTTAAGAATGTTGGCATTTCTAACCCTGGTTGAGTAGTTCAGTTGGTTAGAGCATCATCCTGATTAGCCAAGGTTGTGGGTTCAATCCCTGGTCAGGGCACATACGAAAATCAACAAATGAATGTATGGATGGGTGGAACAACAAACTGATCTTTTTTTTCTCTCTCTCTTCTCCTTTCTCTCTCACTAAAAATCAATAAATAAATGTTTAAAAACAAAACAAAAGTACTAAACAACGCTGCCATATCAAATATTTTTCCATGACCCTTGATGTTTATCTCCAATATGGAGGTCTTTTGATTCTATCCCCTTCCTAACCACAGATTTATTCAGTGCAAAATTGAACCAAAGAAGCTCTGGAATCCAGTATCCCAGTAACAGGAGGAGGGTGTAGTGAGATTCCGGACCAGAATAAAAAGAGGGGTTCAGGTAGAATATGCACAGCAAGCAGGGAGCCCTCAGTCCCTACCCTAGTTTTGTGCTTAGTCCTGCTCTCAGCCAAGTGTTTACCTTCCTGGAAAAACTAGTCTATTAATACTGGCATTTGGGGGTTTCCCAACATAAAAGAGAGCTCAACACCTAAGTAAAACACCATCTTTGTATGTAGTTTCCAATCAGATTTGAATACCTCCCTTGTACATTTTGTGAATCTTGGAGCTTAATACTTAGGATGACTCATTTAAAGAAAAAAACAGAGCCCACAGATATGAGACTTAAGTTTTATTAGCTTCAGTAAATCTGCCTTCACTTCCTTGTAAATATAAACAATAAAAAAAGATTTTCATTAGACCATTAAGACACTGAGAAAATAGAGATGAAGCAAAGAACAGATGAAAACACTAAAAATTAAGTAACTCATAAATATCCTAGAATTTATAAGAGAACTACTGCATTTAAAAAACAAAACAGAGTGCTATTTTTATAAAATAATCATTGAAAAGAAAAAAGAGAGCTTGGAAATTAAAAACATGAGAGCTGAAATTAGGAATTCAATATAAGAGTTGGGTTAAAAAGTTAAAAGTACTTCAAATAAACATAATTAAAATACAAAGAGAAAGCTACTAAGAGAGAAGATGTAAGAAAATTAGAGGCTTATACTAACTTTCAGGAGTCACAGAAGACAACAGAGAAAAGAAATGGGAAAAACAAAGGAAAAGGGTATATGGGAGCAATTTCCAAAACCAAAGGACATATGTCTCTAGATTGAAAGGTCCTGATGGTCTAACATAACAAATGAGATTCTCACTAATGCATGCAAATGTGAAATTTTGCAGTGTCAGGAATAAAGAGAAGATCTTGAGAATGTCCAGAAAAAAAAATTATGAAAGAGTCAGGAAACAAACTGGTGTGAGTCTTTTACATACAAGTCATGGTGCTACAAGTCATTTGAAGGACCTGGGAGAAAATGGTTGTCATACTAGAATTGTATACCCAGACAAACTATCAAACAAGTATAAGGACATTTTCTGTTGGAAAGAACATACCCCAAAAAGTTCTTCCCACATTCCCTTTCATAGGGAACTACTGGAAGATGTGTTTCAACAAAATGAGGAGGGAGAACAACACAGAGGAATATATGGACTCAGAGCAGGAAAAAGCCAAAGAAATGCCCAGAATGATAAAAAGGAAGTCCCAGGGCACAGTTGGGAAGCACATTTACAGAGCAACTCTTCTAAATTAGAGGACACTGATGGAGGGTGTCAGCTCTCCAGGAAAGTCTCTAACTGATAAGAATGTCTGAAATTGTATTTGGGGAAAAATCTCGGTAAGTGTGTGACAAAATATTTGAAAAACAAATTAGTGACAGACACATGGAAAACTAAGCAAATTAAAACAATTACTAACTCTAGTAAACAAAATAAAACAAACAGTAAAAAGAAACATAATTACAAAATACCACCTGGCTCAGCAGTAAATGTTTACATATCATAATACATCATTTCATCATAATCACAATATAAACCCTAGCAACTGAATTAACCACAATTTTGTGATACTGAGAGGAAGGATGGAAGAAGAGTGTGGAAATGTTATAGGGGAGTCAAATCCTCAACGGCCATAATGGGAAGTCAGTAATAATGTCTAAAATTGATGGACTAAAAATAGCAGTATGAGCACATTGTTTTAAAATACAGAGGATGACATAAGAAAAAACAGTTCAAATGACTGAAAATGATTGTCATTGTGAATAGGGCTGGGCCTGAGAGACATGGGTAAAGGAACTGCTGCTATTTATTATGAGCCTGCAGGGAACTATTTTTAAGCATATGCATGAACTGGTTTAATAAAAGTTTTAATTTTAAATAGACAGGGGGAGGGTAGGAATAGTATGGGAAATGTAGAAGCTAAAGAACTTATGACACATGGACATGAACTAAAGGGGGGGATGTGGGTGAAAGATGGTGTGCAGGGTGGAGGGGAGTGAAGGGGGAAGTGGGACAACAGTAATAGCATAATCAAAAACTACATTTAAAAAAGTTTTAATTTTAAAAATAGTAAAAAATCAATTAAGATTTGGAAACAGGATATTTAACTTGATCCCTTCATCTTCACCTGGCTCACTTGTCCTTGTCCTTCAGTCCAAGAAGCCTTTCTTGACCTCCCCTCTAGAAAGGGTGTGCACAACTGGACATTCAGCTAGATCTCCCATTGTGCACACCTGCAGCACCCTGCATTTCTCACAACAAGCACCTTTTTATACTTGACTGTTTCCATCAGTAAATTGCCTTTTTCTATGTCTATCCTGTGAGTTCCTCCAGAAAAGTGGCAACTGGTACTCTAGTGCCTGACACATTGGCAGGAAAAAAGAGAAATGGACATGCCTACCTTCAGCTCTGTCCACAAAGTCTCTCCTGGTATGGGAAGTAAACCGATTTGATATGGCCTTTCTGACCTCATCCTCTGTAGCATAGATTTTCCAAGGGAGGTAGCTCTTCGCTGACGTGGAGTGACCTGGAGGTAGCGTCCAGCAAAAAGGATCCTATCAATACAAACACAGTTTTCAAGAAAATCCACATGGGTTCACCTAATGGTGTGTGTGTGTGTGTGTGTGTGTGTGTGTGTGCGCACCCAGGTACCTCACCATGGATGCTGTGTGTGCAGGAGCCTGTCCACAAGAGCCATCAGTTTACCCAGCTCTCATTTTACACAGGCACTTTGTCACTTCTTTGGTGAAAGGAAATATGATTGCAATGTCCAAAGAACTGTGTCTCATCCAGGAATCTTAAGACAAAATCAGAAGAGAAGATCCCGTGAATTTTAAGGCTGGCCACAGTTAAGACAGCTGCTGCTTTGCCTTGGGATCTCCAAGCCCTCTCTCCTCTTTGCCTCCAAAGAGATTTATGATTATAAAATTGGACCCTCTACCACCTCTTTCCATCTTCCCTCTCTTCCCTCTTGCTTCCTGTTTCCCTGAGAAAACTGAAGCCAACAAAGAGAACCTTCGCAGCCCCGACCCCACACCACCTCCCAGCCACTGCATCTGTGATAGCAGAGGAGCTGCCAGGCAGCCCAGCAGGGCTTGACCCAACCTGGTTCCCTAAAGCCTGCGTCTGGTCTACTCTAGCCCATCCCCCCCACTACTCTCACTGCTCTCCTGCAACTCCTGTTCCTCCCTCTGTCCTAGATGGTTGCCATTGGTATCCGCGCCTGCCTTTAAGTCTCCCATCTTAAAAAGAAAACTCTCCCTTCACCCTACTTCCCTCTCCCGTTACTAAAATATTTCTCAGTTTGCCTTTATACTGAAATTCCTCCAAATAGTTAAGAATACTCCACTCTCCTAAATTTGTCTTTCAAGTCTCTTTTAATTTTCAGGTTCCCACTCCACCCCATTCCCCCCCACCCCTTATAACTTCTCTATGTGAATTTCACTTCTTTTTTTTTATTTTAAGTGAGGGGATAGGGAAGAAGTAGTTAGAAATAAATATGAAAAGGTGGACAGAAATAGTCTGAGAAGAACCATAACTGTAGATGATGAAGGATCTTTGAGATATATTCAAACTCTCAGTTATGGATTATTGATAGTCTTAAATTCAATAGATAAGCAGGTATTATCTTACTTGAATGGCGTGAGAACTGCGGTTCCCAATCTCTCCTGGAGTCCCAGCTTTGATCAAATCTTCCTCAGAGCCCAACTTCCAAACGTACTCATCATTGTAATGTGTCTGATTGGGAAGAGGATCACTAAGTGAATATGTATATCCTAATGTTCGGATGCTTTTTTGACTACAAGAAAAGATAGTGAAAATTAGAGTAAAGAATTACATACTACGTCTCAAAAGAGTACACATGTCAAAGAATTTTACTCATTACATGTTTTTAAAGACTGGTTTAAGACTTGATGCCAGAAATCATTTAATTTCCAGAACTCCCTAAAAAGAAAAAATCCTGTATCTTAGGATGGATCCTAAAATGAAATTTAAAAGAATAATGATAGAAAATTCACTAATTTCTTAAATTCATTTTTAAAGAGCTGAGTATTCTCCTGTAAAATAGTACTTTAGTGTCACCAGTCAGGGAAGAAAAGTTTCTCTCTATAGAAGTATTCCAGTTAATAAGCATTAGGGTATCACTGCTTTGCAAGTCCCTAATGAAATAATGCATCCAGGCAGTAATCAGCCATTTCCCTTTGCAGCTCAAAGAGAGGGACTGCCAGCTTCAACGTGCTCTTGATAGACATGTACACCACCACCCATTTAATATTTTTGTTAAAATATTCAACCTGAATCTGATGAAGTTTCTGGAATGTCAGATTAAAGGAAATACATGAAACTAGAAACATTTTAATGACATGATGGGAGTGAAATCAGAAAAATCCTGAATCCATTTCTTCAACAAAGAAATTCTCAGAGAAAAAAGGGGAGAACCTATAGACTAAAAGAGGTAAGTGATATAATAAGCAAATGGAATGTGTAGACCTTATTGAGATTCAATTTCAAACCAACTGTTTTTTTAATTATGACACAATTGGGGAAACTTGATTTCTGATTGGCCATATTTGATATTAAGAAAAAATTTAGATGTGATAAATGATCACATCTAAGATTTAGATTGAAATGATACACAACACCTGGAATTTGCTTCAACATTATCCAGTGGGGATACTGGGTGAAGGGTGACATATAAAGTGTGTGTGAGTTGATTATTGAAGTTGGGTAATAGCTGGAGATTTGTTGTGTACAAAAATATCTAAAATATTTCATATTGACTTTTTTTTTCAAAAAGAGGGCTAGATTAGGTTCAGATTATGTCTGTAAGAAACCATACATCTGGAAAGTGGATACAGCTGGATGATGACTATTTTACTTGTCATCCAGATATGTGGTCCTAAATCAAACAGAAGTGATCACAGGTACACGAGGATTCTCCAAAGGAGACATAGAACAAGTAGCTTTAAAGGGACTAATTTTCAGATCTTCATTTCTGAGAACACTCTTTCCTAATAGGCACCTGCCTGAGAGCAAACCTGCATAGCTATGGGTCCCTTCTTTCCCATTTATCCCTTCTCCACTGCACCATTACACCTCACCTGGGGTAAATCCCCAACTGTGAGAGGTGCCCGGTGGAGGGAAACTGTCCTAGATTTCAGGGCAACCCCCTTGTCATCCAGTTTCACACCCTTGCCTAGGTCTCATGCTTGTTTCTAAGAGAGTGAATGGCGAGGCTATAACCAGGGCATTATAGCCTCTGCGGGACCATCTGAATTTAGACGAATTGTAGTGGCATCACTCAGAGTAATGTCTAGTTTTCCATCTTCTAAAAATTATAAACATTCGCTCCTCATCAGGGAGATGCCTCTGGGAAGAGAGCAGAGAATATAGAATGCTCAAAATGTCTCTTTCCTCCACAGATTTACAGCATTTTTTCAGCTTTTAAAAAATCTCTAGGATATGTCCTCAGCTGGAAAGAAAAGCTTCTCTGAGTAGATGGAGCAGGAGAGGGTGGTGATGCTGATTCTTTTAAATGTAACTGGAATCTTTTCCAAAGCTACCAAAGTTTTAAAGATTCATGGGATAAAAGTGGTTCATAAAAATCTTGTGAATATTTTTCAGATCATCATTCAATAAGGCATTTAAATCTTATTTTTAAACCCAATCATATTATGAAATATTTACCCCAATGCATCCAGTCTTCGTTTAATTTTTTTTGTAGTGAACTATTAACAATATGTGAGAGTGTATGCTGGCTTGCCAAACCAATTAATTTTCACCACTTAACAACTTTATCTTTTATTAAACCCATAATAAATGTTTGAGTTGCTGTCTAAAGAATTCAGTAAAATTATTTCTGACTTCTATATATAATTATTTTTAATTATTCCCAAGTGTTAAGTGCACTAAAGTTCTAGACACTTGAGAACATATTTAACTAAGGAACTTTTTTTTTATTATATTTCTCTCTTCACAGGTAGTTTACACATCCCATTGCATTATTTTTATTACTTGGATATATTTAATCATATTAGACCTGAATCTTTTTATACTTCCCTGTCTACTTTTAATAATCTTCCCAAAAATATGCATTCCACAATTTATCAGTTTTCATAATATTCTTCAAAACATACATTAACACTTAGGGAACTGGAAGTTAGTCATATTTTATTGTGGCTGTAAGCAAACCTAATTGTTCTTCTTGGTTTGATAGTAAAGACTGATTTTACTGACAAGGTAAACATGGTGAAAGTAGTATGAATTAAATCTTCAGCTCCAAGATTTTGATAAAAATATATTTTAAGTATGTGATGGCATAGCCTTTTTTATTTAAAAAAAAAAGATCGTATTGGAAAACTTTTGTTGAAACTGATGTTCCCATTTTCTAAGTCCTTTTTGAGTATATAATATTAAACAGGTTTCCTCCAAATAAAAGAGTAACATGTAATTTATAGCCATTTGTTAAGACATGCCTTTTCAATACACTTCTCAGAAAATGAGACAGGAAATAACTCAATAACTGGATGACAAATCATCTAATTATTTGCTTTCAATAAAATTGAATGAGTACCCATCCATGATGTCAGCCAATCAATCATTAAAAACACAACACAGACAGGGTTGAGTGACAGTAAAGATGCCTTTCTTTCACGTCTACTTATTTATGTGAACAAGGTTTCCCAACAGTACCATCTACAAACTTAAAAAACTTTAAAGAAGCAGAAAAATTAATGCTGAATCTATCTTATTCCAAAAGTAATAACACTCAAAACTAGAAACATAAACTAATTGAAACAAAACAGCCCCATTTATCTCATTAAGATATAGTTCCAAAAATTTTACTTTTTGTATTTAATAATTATTAACATTTTTGTTCTATGTATTGCTTTGAGCAAGTGTGTACTAAAAGCAATTGTGATAACTCAATACTTAGGGTCACATAACATGTTTAAAAATTAATTTCAATTAATATACTAAAATAGTTACCAAGAAGTATAACAGAGTGGTCGATAAATTGCTCTCAGATATAAAAATATATTACAGCAGGGTAAAATTCTATGGAGGAAGTAGAGTGGGACTAAGTTCAAGAAGGAAAAGAAATGAAGTAAATTATCTATTAAGAAGAGCTCATTTGTGCATTGTTTAAAAGGATCATATAGCATGTATCAATTTGCTAAAGTGGTTAGATTACCCACTGGTTATATTCAAAGAAATGACTTACCAGTTTTATTTTTAATGTCAATGTTTAGTATGGGCTTGAAGTTTATCTTTGTCAACTATTTGTCAACTATTTAAGTTTATGATGAAAACTTTTCTGTGAACTTAAATGTGTTAAGTTTCGGGCACACTGACCTAGACTTCATTAATAACCATTTGTTTTTCGTTTTCATCCCAAATGTTTCTTCTACAGACAACTGTTACTGTGTGGGAAGCTGGAGGAATCATTCCTGCCAGAGGATAAATCTCCCAGGGAAGGGACATGATATGACTCAGCGGTATAGCCAATAACTAGGAAGTCAGGGGTCTTGCAACCCTGTACGTCTTGGGAGTTTGTCACATATTATGCTGGGGAGAATGAATGCAACATTTTTGAGGAAATCCTTAGTTCTAGTCACTGTGCTAGTACTTTCATTCTGTGCTCAGAACCACCACCAACCATAACCGTGAGCCACAGGTGGCTTGTGACTTGCCTTGAGTAGCAGAGATAAATTAAGTTAGAGCAGGGAGTGGATGTTAGAATCTGTTTCTGCCTGGCCCCACAGCCATGGTCTTGCTGATACTCCACTTGACTTCTCAATAATTTGACCTTTAAGATGGAAAGATCTGCCTTCTTGGGAACAATTTACAGGGTAAACACAGGCAAGTGAAGTCTCTCCATGCTAATTTACCACCTACCCCAATATCCTGAACGATGCCAGGGCTTTTGAGTTCCACTCTTGCTCACGTGCCAGTGAGCTCGGAGAGGCAGCCAACCAACAAAAATTCCCACCACTCATGATTCTGTCAGAACTGGAGAAGTTACAAGCCAACATTGCTTTAGGAAGCAAAAAGTGGAGGTGTGAAGGTAAGAGTAAAGCGACTGTGGCCTTCTTCCAGCTTCCAAGACTAGTAGTGTTGATAGAAGTGTTAACAATTGGTCACTCATCCATTCATTCAGTTGTCATTGCCTGCCTACCTTGGCTCAGGTAATAGATTCAATTCATCCTCAGTGTTTAGACAGCACAATTCTATTAGCCTACTTATAACTCTATTGTAAATCAAGACATACAGTAACATTTTTTAAAGTATATTTTATTGATTATGCTATTACAGTTGTCCCAATATTTTTCTCCCCTTTATTCCCCTCTGCCCAGCACCCCCCTCCCACAGCATTCTTCCCCCTACTTAGTTCATGTCCATGGGTCATACATATAAGTTCTTTGGCTTCTCCATTTCCCATCCTATTCCTAACCCCTTCGTGTCTATTATGTACCTACCAATTATGCTTATTCTCTGTACTTTTTCCCCCATTCTCTGTCCCCTTCCCATTCCCACTGATAACCCTCCATGTGATCTGCATTTCTGTGAATCTGTTCCTGTTCTAGTTGTTTGCTTAGTTTGTTTTTGTTTTTAGGTTCAGTTGTTGATAGTTGTTTGTTGTCACTTTACTGTTTGTATTTTTTATCATCTCCTTTTTCTTTCATAAGTCCCTTTAACATTTCATATAATACGGGCTTGGTAATGATGAACTCCTTTAGCTTTACCTTGTCTGGGAGGCACTTTATCTGCCCTTCCATTCTAAATGTTAGCTTTGCAGGATAGAGTCATCTCAGATGTAGGTCCTTGCCTTTCATGACTTTGAATACTTCTTTCCAGCCCCTTGTTGCCTGCAAGGTTTCTTTGGAGAAATCAGCTAGTAGTCTTACAGGAACTCCTTGATAGGTAACTGTCTCCTTTTCTCTTGCTGCTTTTAAGATTCTCTCTTTATCTTTAATCTTGTGTAATGTAATTATAATGTACCTTGGTATATTTCTCTTTGGGTTCAACTTGTTTGGGACTCTCAGAACTTCCTGGACTTCCTGAAAGTCTATTTCCTTTGCCAGATTGGGGAAATTCTCCTTCATTACTTTTTCAAATAAGTTTTCCATTTCTTGTTCTTCTTCTTTTTCTGACACCCTTATGATTCTGATGTAGGAACATTTAAAGTTGTCCCAGAGGTTCCTGAGCCTCTTTCCATTTTTTTAAAATTCTTGTTTCTTCATTCTGTTCTAGTTTGTGTTTATTTCTTCCTTCTGGTCCAAACTGTTGATTTGAGTCTCCGTTTCCTTCCCTTCACTGTTGGTTCCCTGTATATTTTTCTTTATTTCACTTTGCACAGGCTTCAGTTTTTCCTCTATTTTGCAATCATATTCAACCATTTCTGTGAGCATCCAGATTATCAGTGTTTTGAACTCTGCATCTGATAGGTTGGCTATCTCTTCATCGCTTAGTTCTGTTTTTGGAGTTTTGATCCATTCTTTAATTTGGGCCATATTTCTTTGTCTCAGTGCACTTGCTATGTTGTAAGGGGCAGAGCTTTAGGTATTTGCGAGTGTGGGGCTACCCTCTTTGCTGTGTTGTGACACTGTCTGTGGGGCAGGGGTCAGAAAGGGAATACTGCTGCTTGCTTGGCTCTCAGCCAGCTTTCAGTTACTTCCCCTATCCCTACCTATAAGCAAATTGGAGACTTCTGGCGCTGATTCCTGAGTGGGTGGGTTTGTGTACATTCTAGGACCCTGTAGGTCTCTCCAATGAACTGTCTTATGAGGCTGGGAGTTTCTCCCACCTCCACAACCACTACAGATTTTTACAGTCAGAGGTATTGAGACTTTCTTTTCCCATGCTGGAACCCTGGATTGAACAATCTGTCTCACTCCCCAGTTGTTTCTCTTGGTTTATCTGCACACAAATGTGGGACTGCCCAGTCTGCCAGCCACCACCTTGACATGTGTCCTCTCTGCTCCGGGTACCTGTCTCTATCCCTTCTACCAGTCTGAAGGAATGCTTCTTCTTTAACTCCTTGGTTGTCAGACTTCCATATGGTTAAATTTTCTGGGAGTTCTGGGTATTTTTTGTTATTAAATTTGTTGTTGTCTTTCTTTTGGTTGTATAAGCTGATGAAGTATATCTACTTATGCCTCCATCTTGGCCAGAAGTCTCGACACACAGCAACTTGATGAAGAATCCATGGGTCCATTTTCTTCGGTTTCCTGCAAGAGGTTTGGGCATTGTTTGAAGAGGGAACTCTCTCTGGTCCCTGTGAGAGAACTGTGCATGAAATAGGTCCTACCTGAGTGCATTCTTCATAAGCCCTCTCTGGTTACTCTTTTCATTTGTTTTGAATTCTGAATAATAGAATAGAAGTGAACAAATTAAAGTGTGCATGCCAATATGACTCAAGTAGAGATGTACCGAATTAAAGCAGGCACTGCTCCTGTCTTTGGTGTGAACGCGGTCTTCATCGTGGTGGCGTAGGAGTCCCAGTGGGCATCACCTGCTAAAAGTACAATAAAACACTTTTAAAATGGTCAGACCAACATATATTAATCAAATGTTGTTAAACAAACATATTAATCAAATATTTTAATAATTAAAATAACTTTGCAAGAGAAAAACATTGGGGACAATAATTTTGATTCTAAAGGAATAAAGGCCAAATTGTGTCCCCCACTAAGAGAGGAAATTCAATTAAATTATCTGAGTTTTCCCCTTACATAAAAATAGGTGTAGAAGACTGTTCTGTGTGGTGTAGACTCAGCTCCCACTCAGAGATGCACAGGACCCACGCCCATGGATAGGTTCTCCCATGGGGAATCAGGCCTGCAATGTACCTAGGCCGCTTTGAATCTTGCTTTTTGCTAAAACTCCCTCACCCTGAATTGAGGACATTTACTGCAAAGCAACTTCCTAAAATCCAAGCTAAACCTTCCTAGGATGAGTGTTACAAGTGTAATGGGTCCAACTACTTTTGTCTTTTCACTTGCAAATATCCCTCTTCTGTGATGTGATTAGCAGCATTGGCTCCTTTGTTTTCTATAAAGGCTAACCACCTAAAGCAAACCTGTGCATAGTTAAATAGGACCTTCTTGTAATGTGCCCAGTAAGACAATAAAAGCTCATTGGAGCAAGGGTGGAGGCTTTTGCTCCCCTTGAGAGAAAAGCCATGCTGTCCCTTTTCCTCCACCAAACTCGGTAATCCATGTGAATGTCTCATTTCATCCATAATGACCCAGAGCCCAAATGGGTCTATTATTTTTCTTGAGAATTCATACATGCTATTTTATTGAGTTTCAGCAATATGTAAAAATGTAAAGCAAAAATTCATTTGAAATTCTATCATCTTAAAATGCTCACTGTTTCTGATTTAGTGACCAACTTTTTATACATCACATTAGACAAACCGGTAAACACAAGAAATGATTGTGCACAAATCAGAGTTTATGTGTCAGGTTTCTTTTTTTCCCCCTTGATTTTCCTCCACCCTGTACCCTTCCCCCACCATCATTCCTCACCTTAGTTCATGTCCATGGGTCATACATATAAGTTCTTTGGCTTCTCCATTTCCCATACTATTCCTAACCTCCTCCTGTCTATTTTATATCTACCAATTATGCTTCTTATTCCTTATACCTTTTCCCCATTCTCCCCCTTCCACCAAGAACCCTCCATGTGACCTCCATTTCTGTGAATCTGTTCCTGTTCTAGTTGTTTGCTTAGTTTGTTTCTATTTTTGTTTTTGTTTTTTAGGATCGGTGTTGATAGTTCTGAGTTTGTTGTCACTTTACTGTTTGTATTTTTTATCATCTCTTTTTTCTTTGATAAGTCCCTTTAACATTTCATATAATAAGGGCTTGATGATGATGAACTCCTTTAACTTGACCTTATCTGGGAAGCACTTTACCTGCCCTCCCATTTTAAATGATAGCTTTGCTGGATAGAGTAATCTTGGATGTAGGTCCTTGCCCTTCATTACTTGGAATACTTCTTTCCAGCCCCTTCTTTAAGGTTTCTTTTGAGAAATCAGCTGATAGTCTTATGGGAACTCCGAGTAAGTTCTATTTTTGGAGCTTTGATCTGTCCTGTCATTTGGGCCATATTTTTTTCTCTCTGCACACCTGTTACATAGCGAGGGGTAGAGCCTTAGGCGTTCACCAGGGTGGGGCAACCCAGGTGGCTGTGTTTTGGTGCAGTATGTAGGTAAGGAGTCCAAGAGGGAACAATGCCACTTGCTCAGCTCTCTGCTGGCTTTCAGTCACTTCCTCTGCTACCCACAAGCAAATTGGGTCCTTCTGGTGCTGATTCCCAGTTGGGCAGTTTTGTGTACATTCTAGGACCCTATGGGTCTCTCCAATGAACTCTCCTGTGAGGCTGGGAGTTCCTCCTGCTGTCTCAACTCCCACATATTTTTTCAGTCAGAGGTTTTGAGGTTTTATTTCTCTGCACTGGGACCCCAGGTTGTATAGTCTGTCTGGCTCCCCAGTTCTTCCTCCATTTTATCAGCATGCAAATGTGGGACTGCCCACTCCAGCAGCTGCCACCTTGCTGCTAGTCCTCTCCACCCCCGCTGCCTGTGTCCACCCCTCCTACCCATCTGGATGAATGTTTCTTCTTTAACTCCTTGGTTGTTGGACTTCCATACAGTTCAATTTTCTGGCAGTTCTGGTTATTTTTTGTTTTCAAATTTGTTGTCCTTTGGTTGTGCAAGGAGGCAAAGTGTATCTACCTATGCCTCCATCTGGCTGGAAGTCTATATGTCAGGTTCATCCTGGACACCTTCTCCTATTCCTTGTTTTCCCTGCTTATTATCACCTGCCTCCTCTGAGCTCACTAGTGTTAACAACTGTGCCTGTTTCTTTCCAGGCTTTTATACCTCCTGATACAATCATATACAAATTTACATATATATATATATATATATATATATATATATATATAAATACATTGACATATGGGGTTTTAGTTCTCACCATTTTAAAAAAGGGACTCCTATACCCTATATAATTTCATTAACCAATAATTTCACACCCCAATAAATTCAATAAAAAAGTTTTAAAAAAGGCCTCATATTACCCAGTGTCCCTTTCTTTTCTGTCACATAACAGTGTCATATGGGAATCCCCTCGAACTCAACCAGTATAACTCTAAATCATTGTTTATAATGACTGTGCAAGATTGAGCAGTATAGATGTTGTTTAAAACTCTGAGACTGGCTGAGATCAACAAGGGAGGAGGCATAGTTAGAGGAAATGAAGCCTGGGGCATGCCAATGTCAGGTTAGGGAGAGGAGAAGCAGCCTGGGAAGGACACAGAGAAGAGCAATTAGTGAGGTAAGAAGAAAACCAGGAGGGTGGGGTGTCCTGAAACCCAGCAGAAGAAAGTACTTACAGGAGGAAGGGATCACCTATGGCAAATGCTATTGGCAGAGTCCAGGAAAAATTCACCATTAGGCAGACACTAGCAACAACAGAATTTATCTGCCCCACCTGCCCACTGTCAACAAAGCACCACCAAATTTGGGGGGAATGTATGGTTTAAATTTGTTCAATCCTTCTCTCATTTTCATATTTTGGTAGTTACCTGTTGCTTTTTTACATTTCACTAGAACCTGGGTTGAATGTTCCCTTTAATGGTTAAATAAACCACTGTCTCGAATGTATCCCCTCATCTTTAGAACACTGTAGACACTTCATTGTGTGTTTGCTCCCACTCACACATCCTAAATACAGTGGCTGCCAAGGATATGTCTCAAATACCTCTTCAACTTTCAAATCTGTATGCCAGACCAAACATTGTTCATTGTTGCCACCTGTGTACTTCTTATTGCTTACCACCCCATCTCTCCCCACCAGGGCTTGTGTTTAATTGAACAGGCCCATGGGTCCAGCCAGGCAGTGGGATCTGCTCATCTATGATCCCTGCTCATCTATTTACCTGCTGCCTTAACACAAGCTGAGTTTTGCCTGCACCCAGAGGCTTCCCCAGTCAACTAAAGCCTCAGCCCTACATGCCACACCCCATATCGGCTCACACAGACTCCTGGCATCCACGTTCTGCTCCCCCTCTGGAAGACCTTATCCTTTGACACTCCTACTTTAGTGGGAATCATTTTATGCTTGGAAGCATTTTATACCAACAGCAGAATTAAATGGCCTAAGTTAAGAGAATTTTAAGCACAGACACATAAGTGGGAAGAAATTGTGAGAAAGTGCTGCTCTTCAAAGAAGTCATTTTTTTTTAACTTGACTGGGACCTCTGAAAAATGCCAATAGCCACCAGGCAAGAAAGGCTTCTCCCCTAGAGCCACCAAAGGGAGTGCAGCTCTCTAACACCTTAATTTTGGGCTTCTGGGCCTCTGGAATAGGAGAGGGTACATTTCTGTTGCTTTAAGCCACCAGTTTGTGGTAATTATGGCAGTCATTAGAAGTAACACAGCACTTAAGAGTTCAATCTATAGTAGTATTTTAATAGTAGTTAGTCCATAGCAGTCATCATCAATCTCATCATGTTTGGGGATGAAGCTGGGCAGTGACACAAGAAGCTTAACTTTTGGAGAGCGCCACTTCTGGAAGGGAAGGTGGAGAGACCCCAGACTGAATGTGAAGCGGAAACTTGCCCAGGGGAAGGGAGCTTTGGAGCAGGATCAACGAGGCCTGGTGATCAAACCAAGTTGTCAGCAAAGCTGCGCTCCCTTCTACTCTGAGTAGTTGGAACCCTCTTTACTGAGCTGGCAAAGTGTAGAAGGACAGGAGATAATTTTGTGTTGAGTTTGAGGACCTTCTGTGGCATCCAAGTGGATCAGGTAGACACTTGAATAGTCTCAAAAGGAAGAGGAACATCCCAGTTAGAGTTCAGACTAGAGAGCCACTGACTCTTCACGGACTTGAAGTACTGTGGCAGGGGTGGCCACTCACAGAGGAGGCAAATGGAGAAGTGTACATCCAGGGGATGCCCATATTTCCCCAATAAGAAGGGAAGAGAAGACAGTGAAAGAAACCAAGACTGGTGGCTGGAAAGGGAGGAGGAGATCCAGGAGTGCTGTGCCTCCCTCCTCTTTGCCCTGCCACCATATAGAAACTGTATGTTCACATAGCTTTTGTTCTTAATTATTTTCACATTCTATCCTCAATTTACAGAGATTAAACGGAATGGAAAACATATTTCATGCAATCTTATGGGACTGTGGTTTAGGGAATTTGCAGTTGAACAATTCCCATTGCTCTGGAGCCACCGTGGAACCACAGTCACCCAGCTAGAAGGCTGCAAGGAGTTGTTATTGCCATGGGAAGGGCTGGGCTGGAGCTGACTGCACAGCAATCATGCCACCAGCATCACAGCTACAGTGGCTCTCCCTCCACTGACACAAAAAGCTGAGTGAGTAAATTTGCTGCATTTCCATGCAAAATTAGTTTTAAAAGCTACATCTGTTAAATACAAAATCACTTTGAAAGAAAAATCAGCAAAGGTTACAAGCAACAGCTGAGGGCCATAGTTTTCAGGCTCTGCTACAGCCACGTGAGGGGGGCTGGGGTGGGTGAATGGGACAACTGCCTTTGTGGATCCCCTTGGGGGCTGTGTCCCTGCATTCTGCACCCCTGCCCCCACTTTCTATGCTGTTTCCCAGGGGATCAGGACTCCTGCTGGGTCTCCTGTCTTCAGAGCTTCCCACCTTGCCTCCTGCTTCGGCTTTGGCTTTTTTCTCCTGGAAAAGCACTAGTCCCTTTTTTCCCCTGCCACACGCCAAGCATTTCATGAGATGTTTAAAAGCACCTGAGCATTTTAGGACGGGACTGGCAGAAAGAGTACTGAAGGTTAGACAGAGGTAAGGTCATAAACGCCCTCTCAGCTTCCCTGACTCCCAACGTCTCCTTAAACTGAGTCTCATCTTTGAGGGGAGAAGCAGATACCCTCAAAGACCAAAACAGCCTTTGCTCTTGTGTATCCTACCTCCAGGAAAGAAACCGCGCCCCCACCCCAACCCCTGGGCTGGCAGGGTCTACAGTCTTACGTGGTGGGATCTTTGGGCCGCATTGAGAGGGGTAAGGGGCCTCCGGCCCAGACTGTGCCATTGGTGCCTCAGGGTCCTTGTTCCAGCTGGATCAGGGCTGCGGGCGCTAGGATACTTTGTGACGCGTCGCCATGGAGACGCGGGTCCGTTCTGCCCCAGCGAACCTGTTCCGGCGGCACAGGGGACTTAACACAGCTGGCTAGGGGAGCAGGTGTGAAAAGCAAGATGTGCTTCTAGTATTATGGATACCTTGCTTTCATGTATTTGTATAGGAGGCTTCTTGAACATTGCTTGTGTATTTGGGGACAACAAAAGAAGTAGATGGAAAAGAAAGAGACATCAGATTCTCAACTGCAAAGTTTACTCGTAACTTTCCGCCGAAGCAAAAGAGGGCAAAGTGTCACACATCTTTGCGGTAAGTAGGGGCCAAGCAAGAGGACCAAGTCACAGAGATCCTCGAGTAGGTAGAGCCAGAACCATAGTTCCCGAGAAAACTTCAGGCTCCCAGGCAGGTCATCCTCACACAGGAATTAGAAGGGGACAGGACAGTGAAAAGTGTCCTTGGGAACAGGAGCCGGCAGGCATGTTTGTGACGCCTTGCTTTTCATAGGCCCTGCTCCATCGTGTTTTGTAATTCTGCCCCTGCAGCTGAAACTGCGTTTCTCACCCCGTGTACTAGGGTTCTCCCAGAAAGTGGTGGAGTTTTATCTTCATATGCTTAGCAACTACCTGGTAATTTGACACATAGTAGGTGTTTAGTAATACTGAATATTACTAAATAGCTGTCTCCAGGGTAGGACACAGCTATTCCCTACTTGGATGCAAAGAGAAGACATTAATTAGGTGAAGACTGCTGGCAGCATGTTGAGAATGTAATTTACACCATTTCTTATCCTTAAAGGGTTTGTTCTAATATAGGATTTTAGGGGAACAGTGAACTGGAACAAAGGGAGGTTTGCAAAGGACACAGAATAGGCATCAAAGTAAGGATTCCAAGGATATAAGCAGGGAAGTTTTTTAAAATGAGGATCTATACTAGCATTTTCTGAGATTTGAGACTTATCCATATAGTGGAATGAATAGAATACATTTTGGGCTCTCAAATTTTATAGCAGTGAATGGTGGAACACATTATAAGGCCAAGCTTCTGTCAATGTTATTAAAAGGAGTGAATCTAAGTTAGGATATAGTAGTGGCATCTAAATTAGGAAAGTAACACCCAATAACAGATTACTGTCTAGAAATGGGAGAGCTAGTTACCATAGCATAATTTAAGAGAAATGTTTTTTTTTTAAATAGAGCAGTGAGCATAAGGAATTTTAAAAGTAAGTTCTTATTAATATCTTCCACTTGTTTCCTCTTGTTTGAGCTGTGAAATGGGCTTCACATGGAATGGAGAGCTCCCTCCCTGTACTTTCTGCCTGGGGCCCTTGGGATAAAGCAGAAACTTTTCTGAGCCCATTTCTTTCTCTGTAAAATGAGTCTACTAGTACTCACCTCACCATGCTGTAAAAATGAATACCTCTCAGTGACAATTTATAAACTGTAAAGCCTAACAAACCTAAGTCTTACTCCTTTGTCTTACTGCTATTCTGATCTTCATTCCTCTTATTGTCTTTCAGTTCTGCCTTAAAATGGATTTTTGGGGACAGATTCATTTTATTGTGAGCACTATAGTACAGGGCAGGAAGCTCCTGGCTTTGAAGTTGCAACCATTTCCAGTGATAGAGTAGCATGGTTTTCTTCTTTCCCTCTGCAAACACTGACTGTGCACTGGAACTGAGCTGCTCCAGGACATTAAGGGCAACCCCCTGGGTATCATGGGAGCTTGGGGAGGTTGTTCTAGAAGAGGAAGTGTCTGAGCTGAGTTCTCCAGATGTCTAGAAGGCAGCAGGGGCAGGAGGGAGAAGTGCCAGGATGCCAAGCAGGGGCCCAGGAGGCATGGAGCAGCCTAGTACTCCAGAGCCCCTGAGCAGCATGGCATTTCCAGATTGTAAAGAGTAAAGGGAAGGTGAGAAGCAGCTGGAGTGGAGGCCCTGCAGACCAGGCCATGGAGCTCAAACTTGAGAATTGACTGGAGTGGGTTAAGCAATAGAGTGAAGTGTCAGGTCAGAAGGTTAAGTACACCCTGGCCTCTTTCCCAGGAGCAAGAGAAGCAAGTGACCATATGACTTGCCAGAATAAGTTAATCATTCAGAAATAAAGACATCTGTGTCACTAACATGCCTTTTAACAGACTTGTGATTAAAAACAATTGCGAAGTTGTATTGAATGGGTTAATTGTTGATTGGTTGTGTCCAGTTTAAATGACCACAGTAAATTTCTTTATGTACACACATATACACACAAACATACGCACGGACACAGAGAAACATAATGTGAAATAGTAAAGACAGGTGGGTTGTGGAGGGAGGAGAGATAGCAAGTATAGAGCACTCCACTTCTGTCTATGAAGAAGAAAGTCTCCAGTGGGGGAAAGGGAGTGGGTCAGGTAGAGAGTTACTACTTAACAGAAGAGAAGATTGAACAAGTTCTTAGGCCAAGAGCAAGGAGCAGGGAAAGAGAGCTGACACTGTGGGGAGCAGCAGGGCCCCAGGGACCCCCATGCAGTAAGTCAGCTGGGGCCTGACATTCTGCTTATCTAACAAGATCGCAGGTGACTCAGAGTTGAGATGGACAGATTTAGAGCCCTGTCCCAGGACCAGCAGCCTGGGCATCAACAGAGGGCTCATTAGACATGCAGAGGCTCAGGCCCTGCCAGACCTATAGAATCAGATCTGCAGCTTCATGAGACTTCCAAGAGTTTCTTCTGCTCATTCAAGTTTGAGAAACTCTGCTCCAGGTAATATGAGGCCTGATCATCTCCTGATGAGAAGGAGAACAAGAAGAGTTGCTGAGAGAACTTAAAGAGAAACCTGATGTAGGATATGTAAAGGGCTTGTCAGGTGGCTACTTCCAAAAGCCCAGAAGAGGTCTCAGGCAATCTGCAGTGATGCCCACATACTCTGGATATGACTGTTCTGAGTGAAGTTTCTCTGGCTTGGTGGGTTTATTTGCACAAAAGACTTCCAATTACTATGTAATATGCAGTGCTTTGAGTGTCTTCATTTTAAAAAATAATATATTACTTCTTTGTTTTAGCTGATTAACTCTTAAAACATTTTCTGAATTTTTTGATGGATTCTCAATTATTCGGGGCTCCCTAGAGAAATATAAGAGGGAGGGAGGGAGGGAGAGAGAGAGAGAGAGAGAGAGAGAGAGAGAGAGAGAGAGAGAAATCAAGAGATTAAGAGAGATTTAAGAGATTGGCTCACACAGCTGCGGTGCCTGGCAAGTCTGAGAGCTGAGGAGTGGGTCACAAACTGGATGGAGGCCAAGGGCAGAGCTGAATGTTGAAGCTCAAGTCCAAAGGCTAACTGTGCAGAATTTACTTTTGCTCAGGGGAGGGTCAGTCTTTTGTTCTCTTCAGCGGATGGGAGAGGCCTACTTACATTTTGGAGGGCAATCTGCTTCACTCAAAGTGCACTGATTTAAATGTTAATCTCATCCAAAAGAACCCTCATAGAAACATCCAGAATAATGTTTGACTACCATGGCCCAGTCAAGTGAACCCATAAATTAACCATCTCAGACTCAAATCTTCCTGAGGTTATCTAGTTCTTACCTTACACTAAGAAAGGTTATGGTGAAGTAGTCCAAGAACAACTACTACCTTTTATTTAAAAATCCAGAAAAAACATTCTATAATATTTTCTACTTTATTGGAACAGTCCAATTTAATGTGGACAATTCTAAACTCTGATTCTAACTGTCCACTCACTAAACTTACATTTTATCCAAATAAAGCCATAACAGCAAATATAGTCTGTTGATTCTATCAAAACCTTGTCAGTCCTGTATAAATGTCACCTCTCTCCTGGGCCATCCTATTCTCTTGGATTCTTATATTTTTCTCATCTCTGAACTCTTAAGAAGTAAGCTGGCCAGGCCAGCCACTGGGTAATTACCAGTGCCTTATACTGTGAGTTCTTACAAGTTTATTCAAGTGGTGAACATCAAGTGTGCACATTAATTTAACTCAGTGTGAATACTAGCATTTACCCATCCAAATGAATGTAGTCATCTTCAAAAGTAGTAGTAATTTACTCTAATGACACTACCATTGCTTGAACCATTTTAAAAATTCCTTAGAAGCGCCCTTTAGAAATGGATGCACATTCTTTTTGAGTTTCTTAAGTAGGGACATAACTTTGCTCTTTGACAGAATACTGAGTATTTGAAACAATAAAAAGACATTTGAGTTGATAATTAAGGCAGGCAATCACATTGGACAATATTATCCTTTAGCTAAAAATCAAAATTTCCCATGAGGTAATGAAAAGAAAACTCTCTCACTCTATAGCTAATGTCCAGATTTGCATTCTTGTTGGAATAAATTAAAAGCCTCCAAGGTGACCCTTTCACTTAGAGCTTAGCTAAATCAGCCAGTTTGATAAGTCAATCCTTACAGATTTGTTTTAAAAGAAATTTTATAGTTACACATCATTTTTATCTCCAAATCTGGATCATAAGCATCATGGATATTTTTCTTTTGGAACTTGCTGTTCTTGATGGCTTATACACCTAACTTGTCTTCTCTTACAAGACTGGAAGCTCCTGGAAAGCTTGGGCCCTGCTTTGGGTACCTTCTTATGCCAGCACCCATCTTAGTAAACCTCACATAGTAGGTACTCAATCATGTGTTGAATGAATGAATGAGTGAATTAATTGAATGGATGAATTACTTAGGACACTATTGTCCTATAGATTTCTACTGATCTTAAAATATCTAAATTTGGCTATTTACACCCAAGATTGAGGCTGCTTTTACCTAGGAAGGTCCAGTTTTAAAGACTGTCCAATATCACATCTCTGTAACATTTGCTAATAAAATGTGTTAATATGGTGTAGATTTCATTATAGACAGTCAATAAAATTTTGCTGAGGGGATATTGAATGACTGAATGCATTTGGTTCATAGTTGACGAAACTTCCAGACCTTTAGTTAATTCTTGGAGTGCTTACTGATGGGTTTTCTTAACTCAGATACTCTCAAAAAATCTTCTTTGTCAATTTTTGTGAATAGTGTTTCTATTTCCTTTGGAAAGCATTTAATATTTGATATCCACCCAAGGTTGGTTTGTCCTAGTATACAACTTATTTTATTGTTAATACTCCTCATTTGGCACTGAGTTGAATAGCAACTGTTCATCCTCTTCTATTACTGAGAAGCATTCTCTTTTCTGAAAGATGATATCAAATTGTGTTTCTTTTCTCCAAATACTGCATAGTCCAGCTCTTCAACAGGCTCTGGAAAGTGTCTGCGAAAACCACAGTTCTCCCTGTAATTTAGTAAGATAGCAGGCAAATATACAAAGCACAATGGAAAGATCACACATACTTGGTTACAAATTTAATCAATTCTGTGTTGAACGATAAGAAAAATTTAATTGCACAAAGGTAGTACATAACATTTCAAATATAAAAGACAATTGGTAGTGCTATCAAAATACATGAAAAATTTTTAAATGTTATAAAAATTATACTCAGAGCCCAGAAGTCTTCCTCATTATAAGCATATGGAGTGATTCATTCATGCAGGTTTTATATATAGATAAAATTTTTTTTCTTTTTGAAGAATCCCATTGTAGCTCTGAGGTAAAAAATGCATTGATGTAACAATGTATTGTGGTAATGTTGTATAGCTTTTTTCAATTTTGCTTTTAGTGTTAGGGTTGCTAAAAGCTTATTTAAAATAAACAACTGGTGTGGGGGCATAAATGGTGATAGAAGGAGACTTGACTCGGGGTGGTAAACACTCAATACAATATACAGGTGATGTATTGTAGAATTATACCCCTGAAACCTATATAATTTTATTAACTAATGTGACCCCAATAAATTCAATAAGAAAGTAAAAAACTACCCAACTGATATAATGTGCTTTCAGTCAAGAGGACACTGCCATGATCATGATCCTCCTCCTGTCACTGTGTGCACATCCCCTGGCCTCTTTCTACACTTTGTTAAGAGGGAGGCCAAGGAAGTTCAAATTTTAGGCAGTGAGTGGCGGGGGTGCCATCCTACCAAGCTGGTCAACCCCCCAGCAAACCTTACCTGGAATGCTTCTGCTAAAGGCAGGATGAGAAACACATGTGTCTTCCAGTGAACGTTGTCATAGGCTTTTTGCCAGCCAGGTTTGCAAGAGAATAGCACAGCTCACCCTGAGCTGGCTTGAGTTTGGGTTCAGACAAGGGTGTCTCAAGCAGAGGACCAAACCCCAATTTACGAAGCATCATGGTCAACACCCAAGTCAGACTGGTCCCACAGAAGTTGCCAGGGAAACTCCCAGGGTGCCAAGGTCGCACATGAAGTACTCAGGACCCTGCCAGTCTCTCTGCCTCTTTGGAGAAGTGCTCAAAGGAGGGGCTGTCCAGTCATGAGGCCAGGGCCCTCCCATCCTGAAGTCAGCTGCGTGGGGCCTGCTGGGGAGGCACCCACAGAACAGGGAAGGAGCACTCCAAGGAGCAAAGGGTGGACCAGTGGGTGGAAGGCCTGACCCCCAGCTCATCCCACCCCCCAACTCCCCTCAACCTTCAGTAAGCCTGGAGTGCAGGAGGAACTAGAACAGGTCCTGTCCAATCAGAGAAACTGGTTAGGTGCCTCTTCAGATTCCAGAACGCTTGGAAATGGTAATTCTGCCAAAAGGGGCTCCATCAAAGATGATCTTGGTGACAGACTGCAGTTAAAAACCTCATCTATTGAACCTGAAAGATGTAAATTGGACATTTTTACCATCACTGGAAACCAGAAGGAATCCTGCAGTGCCTTTACAACTCACAAAAGACAATGAGCCATTTTAATACTAAAAAGAGAACCCTGGCCTCCTCAGAAATGCTCAAAAGCTCAATAGAAATGGATAGCACTTTGTTTACCAGAAGGACATGGGGTATCATTTGCTTTTCCAGGCTGGAGTAGATTTTCACTAAGTTCCACAAACCCTTTCTCAAAAGGCCCAAAATTGGGACAGCCCAGGACAAAGGTTGGGTTTTGAAAAGGAGGAGGAGCTGGGCTAATGGAGCACCCCAAGCAGGGCCATGGAGGCCAGGCTGGGCACAACTGCCAGGGCCACTGGGCACCTTGGCTGTGCCCTCTGCCAAGCATAATGATTCTGGTCAGCCTTGAAGAAAGCTTCTCCACTGCTCTGGAGTGGAAGTGGTCCCAGGGCTGGCTCAGTTAATTTTAAGGAAGCATTGCCCAACTTCACATGTCCCTGGTATCCCCAGGATGGCAGTGGACACCCTGTGCAGCCACAGGACAGAGGGTGAGTGATGCTGAAACAGCAAAACCCTGCCCAAGCTGCTATGGTCAGTGGATGAGGCTGAAGGGATGTCAAAGGAAAGACCAGGCATCCAGGACTGCCACAACCAGACAAGCTCATCTTCCCCCAAAAGGATCAGTGTATAACATGCCTCCTCCAAATGGCTGCAAAGGAGCAGAGTGCAGAGGAATCTTTGTAAGGAACATCCAGACAGAGAAAGCTAAAGCAACATGGAATGAGGGGGAGAGGAGGAGAGTAAAGGTAAGAAGGGGAGAGGGAGAGAGGGTAGGAAAGGAGAGGAGGAAGAGGGAGAGACATATAGGGAGGAGGGAGAAAGGAGAGGGAAAGAGGGAGGGGATGAGGGAGAGAGAGGGACAGACAGAGTGACAGAGGGGCTACTTCCAAGGTAATAAATAGCTAGAGTAAACATTTTTGCTATAAACATAGGAAGAAAGCAACTCATTAAATACAATTAATTGAAGACTATTTTACATTTGAACTCTTTGAAAACTGTCAGTTCACAGAGACTGGTATGTTTGTTTGTTTGTTTGTTTGTTTGTTTGTTGGAATTAGCAGCAAAAATCCTGATTCAAGGAAGTTGCTTTCCAGCCAGCTGGCACAGAACAGAGAGAACAGAGAGGCTCAGAGAGGATGTGATGGGCAGGTGCCATCGGCTCTGCCAGCAGTCTCACGAGTCTCCCAGAAGGCACCAATATAATATTGAGTTTGTTCAGTGAAACATTCTCAGGAGTTATTCTGTGGTCTTACAAACTCTGGAGAACCCTGCCTGTTTTTGTTGACATAAAATTGATAGTGATCAGCCATGCACGCACCTCCTCCAACTGACACTTCTGTTCACATTCTGTTGCCCAGCATAATTCTTTCATAATACTTAAATAAATGTTAATACAATTCAAATGAGCATTAATATGTATTTAAATTAATAATATATTTTAAACTTATTTTCTGGGTATGCTGAACAATGTAGGTAGCTTCTATGTCAGAAAACTTTAAGGGGCCCAAAAGGAAAATTCACTATATTTCTTTTTGGTAGTCTCACTTCTTACTTTCTGAATAATATAGTATATTATATTTCCCCCTTATCAAGAGGCCTTATCTTTTCCATTCATTGGCTCTCCTCTCTCATCATACTATTCTATGCTTTTATTTAACTATGAGAATTTTTAACATACCTCTGGAAGTTACACTGAATTTTCGGTCAGAGAAACTGCTCCTTCGGATCAGTGATTCACTCATTTTTTCCAGAAATAGTTTAATTGTCTCCTTCTTTTCTGGACTTGAACTTGACAAATTCAGAACTTTTCCATTCACTTGTACAGTGGAATTGCTGAGCCCAAGCCAATAGAAGAAATCAAATAGTGCATCGGCTTTGAACTCATAGGCAAAGCTCAAATTTTCTCCATTAACCACTTCATTTCCCAAAGGGAAAAAATTCTTCACTGCCTCTTGAAAATCAAACTGAAAGAGAAACGTGATGAATTTCATGTATATAAGAATAATGTTACATCCTAGAATTCTGTCACCACAGAATTATATTACAGAAATAACAACTGCCCAAATGTCCAAAATGTCACACCCCTTATTTCTCTTTCATTCAGACAGATACTTTTAAACAGTTGCCTTAACTTTTTCAAAACAGACCTATGCATTTGCATCATGTTATATCTACAGACCGTGGAGTGTTTGGTCAGTGACATTCATTATTATCCCATTTCTAATAAATTCCTGGAAACTCCGCTCATTTTATTGGCAGCAATGATGAAGCAACAGCAAACATCTGTGTCTGGATACAGCTAAGTTAGAGCTGAGCTCTCAGGACTCAGCCGTACAGAAACCTCTTGAAACCTTCCGTGTTTGGCCGCCATCCTGGATTCAGACAGGCTCACACTTACCTGGAGCCGGTAGCTTTCTCCAATCACTGAGGAAATGACCATGTCCATCCCTTGCTCTATCTGTCTTCTTATCTTGGGGTGCCTCGTGTTCACAAGGAAGGCATATGTTCTTTCTACAAATTTGGAAGCAGAATTTGAAGAGAAGTGTGTGTGTGTGACAAAGTAGTGATTCCCACCTTACTCGCAGATTTCATTCATTTTTTAGCCTCCCTCACTGCAAAGCCTCACCAGATTTCTAGAAACATTTCTGAGATTTTTGCATATGTGAAGGAAGCAGGACCCCAAGGCTGCATTTTGCTGCTCTTGTCTGGGAAACTGGAAGTTGGAAGTCCTGTTCCATCAGAGGGGAGAACTGAGCCTCTGCCTGTGTATGCAGCAGAGGAAGCTAAGTGAGAAATGCAGGCCAGCCCATTTTCATGCCTCGGCCTTGCTGTCACCAATATGTCTTCCTTTGCAAAGCAAAAATTCAGCCAAGTCCAGGGAAGGAAAGCTGCTCCATGCCTCCCCTCTCCCAATACTTCCTCCCCAGGGACTGGCTTTCATTCTGTCAAAGGGCTGGCCTGGAGTGCTAAGGGTCAAGGCAATTTGACATGTACTCTCCTCCATGCCCCAACAATTCCCAGTGGGAGGAAAAAGTCCCTCTGGTTGCTGAAATTATACCATGTCTGTGTCCTGGCACAGCTGGGTTTTTGTTGTTGTTTGTCTTGGTTTGTTTTTTTTTTTGGTGAACTCTTAAATCCAATTCTGTCCAACTCTATACAGTCTAAACAAAGGTAAAGTTGTTCACTCATTAGGAAATCTGAAATACTATTAACCAACAACCCCTTAACTTTTCAGCTCCCAGAAACCCCTTAATTTCTCAAGTGCTTCTTCTAGGGAGACACATAACAAATTGGACTGGCCAAAAAGTCTGTTCAGTTTTTTCTGTAAAATAAAAGACAAATTTTTCATGTTCACCAATAACTTTACTGATTTGGATATTTTGAGTATGTCAGCTATCTCCTGTGTGGTATAACATTGATTATTCTCAATTAATGTCTCAGTTTGATCTCTATCAACTTCAACTGGTCTACTGGACAGTGGAGCATCATCCATCAAGAAATTTCCAGCATGAAACTTCACAAACCACTTTTGACACATTTTATTTGTCACACAGAACCTTCTTCATACACTGCACAAATCTTTTCTTGCATATCAGTTGCATTTTTACCTTTCTTGAAATAATAAAGCATAATATGCTGAAAATGTATATTTTCTTCCATCTTCAATATTAGAATGTCTACTCAAAATTCACTAACTTTGGTAAGTTTTTTAAATGTACGCTGATATGACAGCTGTCACAATGCAATCTAATAAAATTGTTTCAAATAAAATTAAAGACAACTCAGCACTAGTAGAGCCATCTCACCAAAAAACACACAAAGTTTTTGGCCAACTCAAAAGATTGTTAGCCTCTTTTTAAACACCATGGACCAGCCATTAAGCAATTTTGAGAACTCAACATTTGGCCTTGGCCTTGAGCACCAAGCCTGTGGTCCACCAATATGGTGTCACATCCTTTAGGAACACATTTTGAACTGACTTTTGCACTGGCCTTATTCATCTTAGTTTTCCTACCCCTGTCTTTCTCCCAAATTATTTTCTTGACACTTTAGATATAAACTAATCTATACCCTCTTTGAGATGAGATATAACAAACCAAGGGAACAATTTTATACATTTTATACCTTGAATTAACTTTTACACAAACCAAGCCAGGACCTTCAGGCTTCTTGTACACTCAGGGCCCACACATGCCACAGCTGTGCAGCCAGCACAGCCCTGAAGGATGCCTTTTACATTCACAGACCTTGACTACTTGTATATTTATTATGACAAACTTCTGGGGATAACAGTAAATTGTAAGTTAATGGTGGCTTTTTCTAATTTGTATTGTATAAAAGTACTATTTACAATAGCAGCAAGGCCAAACATCATGTTACCTTAATCACAATTTTCATAATTCAAACTACCATTTTAATTAAGTTTTTGTATCAGAATTTCTATAGTTCGTGGCTTTTTTCACAGTGAACTGGAGCCAGGTTTCTATGGCTCCTTTCACAATAGTTACACAGCTGTGCACCTTTTGGAGGCCACCCACATGTACCTCCTCATACCACTCCCTTCACTTTCATTAAAATGTTAAAGTGGAGAGGTCTCTTATTCTTACCTCAGATTCCTCCTGAGAGATGGACCAGGAGGTGTACTTAATACACCTGTGAATTTTGTCCCTAGAGAACTCTCTGGATTCCTGGCCATCATGAAGCCAAATAACATCAGGGGCTCAGATGTTCCAATGAGCGTTGCTAGTTACTGTGTGTTCTGTTCCCGGCCCCTCTTAACTTTGAATTATGAAGTGAGCAGAAAATCTGAGTGACTCTGATTGAAATGAGCAGAGAACTGGCCCCAGGAACCTAGAGGAGATTGAATGTTTGAGGAAGTTTCGTTGAAATTTGTAGATCCTTTATTACCTTGGGCTCACTTTAAGAATGTTATTTAGAAGTGAGTTTCAAAAATTCTATTTCTGTCATTATGTCCATGTAGAATTTGAGTTAATGTAGCTGTAACAGTCAGTCTGATTTCTTGAAAGAAACCATAAAGAGACATTTCTAAGACTGAAATTCTAATATAATAGCATGAGACATAAAAGCATCTATAGATACTTATTTTAACTTCATTTTCTCATCTGTAAAATGGGGACAGTCTCAGTACCTCCCAGGTAGGATGACCATGCACCCTAGTTTGCCCGAGTTGGTCGCAGAAGGATTTTTAACAGTACATACTTTCATGCTAAAAATGTTCCCAACTGAATGGCATGAAGCCCTGCAGGGCTGTGTGCCAGCTGATGTCAGAGCAGACCCGGAACACCTAAGTGTCTCCTACACGGCAGACAGTATTCCATACCATCATCTTCACCACTCCAGTCATTTTTGCAACCACTGCAGGCTCATAACATCAAATTGCTCTCTGCCTTGATAAGAAGTATGAAAGAAAACTCAGAGACAGATGGCTACTGCTCCAGGCTCACGTAGGGTTTAATCTTCAGGCTTGTGCTGTGCTTCAGACGGCTTGACACAGCAGGCTTCGTGCTCCAGTCTTGTCACATGCCGACACCCACCCTGCCACCTCCACACCCAAGTTCTACATCATCAGCACGTCTCAGTCGAAAAGCCCAGCAAGACACAACCAAACCAAAATATTTAGAGACTGACCTTTTGAGGTGTCTTTTCTGGTCTGTACATTAATAAAGAACAGCATCGGTTTACTCAGTATCATTTCCCGGTAGTCTTTATAATCGCAGTAGTTGGTCAGTTCCACATATCTATGAAAAAAAGGAGATACAGGTGCAAATGTATGTACCCACCCATCTAAGGAAGGGGATGTCTCGATAAGTGCCTGCCACATCTATCATCCCTTTGATAGAAGTCCTCTAAAATATGTCCTGGCGGAGGCAACCATATTTTGTATCCTGTAAAATAAAGCTTGCTCACTCTCTCTCCCTCTCTGCAGGTCAGCCTCAGATCAACGTGTAACCAAAAGGTGGTCCTGGTCATTGGGGTGGCCTGACACCAGCACCTGGCTCTGAGATGATAACCAGTACCATCTATTTCTGGGGCTGTAAGAGTTCATTTGAAGCCAGCAGAGTTCTATGTCTGTCTGGGCTGGGAACGAATTACACTCAGTAAGTGGAATTAGCGGGTCTTCCCCAGTGCAGTCATCCATATTACTAGTGGGTTTACAATCTTCCTTCTTCCCTCTTCCCTTCTCTAATTCCAAAATAAACCCAGCCCCCTACACAGATTACACATAAACCAATACTGATATGAACTAATTCACATCACCCTGACCCTGAGCTTGTATAATTAAAGAAAAACAACTAATGGTAGACTTCTGCCCGGGGTCCCATTAATTTAGCTCCCTTGGTTTCCATTCATTAGTCGAGCCTGAGAAGAGCTTTTACATTTTGACTGTCATGTAGTATGGCAGCTTTCTCTCTGTACTCTACAAATTTTCCAGGCTGTCTTTCTAGGCTTCTACCTACATTGTTGATTTGAAAAAAAAGGCTGATCCAAATGTAAATTAGTTTCCGCCAAGACAGCTAATTTTCTAACCAAACCCAAGCTCTATGCCACGAGGATGTAGGCAGTCTAAATGGCACCCAGTCCAGCAGGCCGGAGGACGCACTGCCCCAGTCCCTCTTTACCATGGAGCTGGGTCCACAGGTGGCCCAGCTATGGAGACATACGCGCCAACTGAATGGCCATCACAGCGACAGAGTGGGCTGCTTTTGCTACACTGCGCTGTGTCTGCTTCTGACACCTAGTCAAAGGCAGAGACAGCTCCAGTGTTTCTCTCTGGCTTGTTGTCCTTCAGTGCCTGACATGAAAATCACAGCCCTGGAGAGCTCCCAGCAGCCAGGAGCAGTGGCACCACAGTCCTCGCAGCCTCCTCCTCCTCACCTACGACCCACAAGCCACTTAGAGGGGCCAGTGCACAAGACCCTGACCATGACATGGGTCAAGAGCACCTGGGAGAATACCTACCCCTGAGTCAGAAAAACACAGCTTCCACTTATCTGTCTCCCAGCTTGGTTTCTTACAAACATGTTATTATCTTTTTCTGGGCTTGTCAGACCTGATTTTTGAGAGCTTTTAAAACCTAACCCCTGATGGAGACTCTAAAATGCTTCCTGCCTTCTGATTCACCAGGATTTTAACACAGTCTCCACCTCTCAGCCCATTGGCACGGGTGGTGGTCAGGTGGCTGGGACACACACAGGAGGAAAGGGGGAGTGGGTGTTGATGTTCAGGGGTGTTGGTGAGAAGGGCAGGATTAGGGTAGAAGAAAGTGGGAGTGGAAAAGGGCTGAGGGACCTGGGGAGCAATAAGGGGACAGACTGGGTGTGAGATGCAGACCAGGGATTTTGTATGACTCTTTCTCTGTCTGCCCCCTGCCCTCACCTTCACAGAACAGTGTGGAAGGAAAATGGGATGAGGTGAGGCACCTGAAGGAGAGACACTTGTATTCCATATCAACAGAGACAGAATTATCCTGTTCTTCTTTGTTTCAATTGACCAACTGTCAAAAGGTACTGCAGAAAGGAAGCAAAGGAGAAGGAAAGAGAAAGAGGCCATCATTGCTGGTTCACTTGCTGTCACTCATTTGACCACACTCTGAGTAGCTAAGACTGCGGGACATCAGGTAGGCACTCACATGGGCCTTATCACATCTGAGGAGCTTGGGGCCTAGGGAATGGGCATGGGGAAGAGGGTGGCAGTACAGGGTCACACCAGGGCTCTCTCCCACCCTCTGCCATCCATCTATTCAGCTACCAAGGACCTGGCCTGGCAGGCAAGAGCAGCCTTAGAAGAGGAGAGGCAGGTGAAGGCTGTGGTTGGGGGTTGGGAGGGTGTGAGGGGAAAGATGCAGAGGGAGAAAGGGGGAAGGAAACTCTTGTAGCAATAGAGGAAATGGGCAAGACTGAGTGGACTAAACATCAGAAAGATAGATGCATAATATCAGGACAGGAGTCAGGTGCCACCTGTGAGCCATCCAAGGTGGATTTTCATAGTCTCCCCCCTTGTTTATCACAGAGTTAACTGATAGTCACTTAAGCATGTCATATTTCCCTCCGAGTGACTCCTCTGCTCTCCTAACATCCACAGTCTGATTGTCATTCTCCAGTATAGCCAGAAAATCTGTATTTTTGATTATTATTCTGATGACACAAATGACAATCCTTGCCTCTGCCTGTACAATTGATTGACATTCTATTCAAGGTGTCATCAGTAGGAAAAAGATAAAAATTTCAACTGAGAAATGATCACTGGGTGTGAAAATAACCAGTTTGCTCCAGAATTCTGTGGTAGGCTTTCTAGAATGCTCTGGGGTTCACAGGGCTGCTATTTGAGGTCCTTAGAAAAGAGGGCTGATGGGGTCTTCTGAGAGCCACACACTGCCTTTAATGCGGTGTAGGAGACCGTTCTGCATGGCATGGGCCCAGCTACCACTCGGAAATGCACAGGACATATGCCCACGGATAGGTTCTCCCGTGGGGAATCAGGCCTGCAATGTACCTAGGCCACCATGACTCTTGCTTTTTGCTAAAACTTCCTCACTCTGATTTGTAGCAAATACTTACTGCAAAGTAACTTCCTAAAATACCATGCTAAACCTTCCAAGGATGAGTGTAACCAGTTTCATCACTTTTGCCTTTTCATTTGCAAATATCCCTCTTCTGTGATGTGATTAGCAGCACTGGCTCCTTTGTTTCCTGCAAAAGGTAACCACCTAAAGTGAACCTGTGAATAGTAAATGAGGACCATTGTTTAATGGGCGGAGAAAACCCAATAAAGGCCTGTCATGGCAGAGGCCGAGGCTTTTGCTCCCCTTGAGAGAAAAGCCATGCTGTCCCTTTTCCTCCACCAGACTCGATAGTCCATGTGAATGTCTCATTTCATCCATAATGACATGGATACTGCGGGCTGGTATCTGCATCAATGGGGCACCTACACCTGAGTCATCCTTTTCTTTTAGGGTCTAAATGTGATAAGATCCCCTGAATAATAAAACTATGGTCAACATGATTTAATCTTCCTTTGATGATTTAGAGGCATATTTAGGATGTTAATGGGCCTGTAAAGGTCATGACAGAGCATGTCAGTTATCCCTGTAACTCATATGTGCAGAAATGCTGCTTATATGAGAGCTCTAGTAACAGAACTCACAGGTAAGAGGCAAGATCCCTACCTACTAAACCAGGGCACAAATAAGAACTACCTCCTCAAACCATCTATTTCCCAGTCCCCCAGTTATGGTCCCATTGTTAAACACCTCCTGAGTTCCAGTGAAATAAAGAAATATGAGTATTCTTTTGGAACTGGCTGTTATAAAATCTGGATATGTAAATCACCAAAATAAAAAAAGACTGAGGACCAAGTTCTTAAGGAAGAGCCTTACTAGACTGTATTAGGGGTGTGTGCACGTTTCTGAATTACTAATGCAAATACTGCTTTTGTGTACTGGGTATTTTATTACATTTGCTGACATTATAATTAAGGAAGAAAAGCAAACAGCTGAAGATGGTTCCTTCAAACTCTCATTTCTTTGTGGCTTTTACCCTGGGCCCACCCAACCCAAATGCTGACTGAAACTATTTTCTTGCCACTTTTTAAGTATATTTTATTGATTATGCTATTACAGTTGTCCCAATTTTTTCTCCCTTTTATCCCCTCTCTGCCCTGCACCCCACCACCCTCCAGCATCCCCTGCCCCGAGTTCATGTCCATGGGTTGTACATATAAGTTCTTTGGCTTCTCTATTTCCTATACTATTCTTAACCTCCCCCTGTCTATTTTATGCCTACCATTTATGCTTCTTATGCCCTGTACCTCCTCTCCCCATTCTCCCGCTCCCCACTGACAACTCTCCATGTGATCTCCACTTGTCATTCTGTTCTTGTTTCAGTTGTTTGCATAGTTTGTGTGCGGGTTTTTATAAGGTTCAGTTTTTGATAGTTATAAGTTTGTTGTCATTTTATTGCTTACAGTTTTTGATCTTCTATTTCTTAGATAAGTTCCTTTAACAGTTCATTTAATAAGGACTTGGTGATGATGAACTCCTTTAACTTGACCTTATCTGGGAAACACTTTATCTGCCCTTCCATTCTAAATGATAGCTTTGCTGGATAGAGTGATCTTGAATGGGGGTTCTTGCCTTTCATGACTTGGAATATTTCTTTCCAACCCCTTCTTGCCTGCAAGATTTCTTTTGAGAAATCAGCTGATAGTCTTATGGGAACTCCTTTGTAGGTAACTGTCTCCTTTTCTCTTGTTGCTTTTAAGATTCTTTCCTTATGTTTAATCTTTGGTAATGTAATTATGATGTACCTCAGTGCATGCTTCATTGGGTCCAAATTGTTTGGGACTCTCTGAGCGTCCTGGACTTCCTAGGAGTCTATTTCCTTGCCAGATTGGGGAAGTTTTCCTTCAATATTTTTTCAAATAAATTTTCAATTTCTTATTCTTCCTCTTCTCCTTCTGGCACCCTTGATTTAAATGTTGGAACATTAAAAATTGTACCAGATGTTCCTACACCTGTCTTTTTTTTTTGAATCCTTGTTTCTTCATTTTGTTCCAGTTGGATGTTTATTTCTTCATTTTTTTCCAAATCGTTGATTTAAGTCCCAGTTTCCTTCCATTCATTGTTGGTTCCCTGTATATTGTTCTCTATTTCACTTTGTGTAGCCTTCATTTCTTTCTCATTTTGCGACCTAGCTCAATCAATTCTGTGAGCATCCTGATTACCAGTGTTTTGAACTCTGCATCAGATAGGTTGTCTATCTCCTCGTTGCTTAGCTCCTTTTCTGGAGTTTTGATCTGTTCTTTCATTTGGCCCATATTTCTTTGATGCTGGACACCTGTTACATGTTAAGGGGCAGAGCCTTAGGTATTCAGCAGGGCGAGGAAACCCTCTTTACTGAGCTGTGGTGCTGCCTGTGGGGGAGGGGCCAGAGAGGGAACAATGCAGCTCTCCTGCTCTGCTCTAGCTCCACTTTCCAATAAATTCTCCTGGGAAACTAGGATTTTCTCTTGCCTTTGCAACCCCCATAGTGTTTTACAGCTAGAGGTTTTGAGTCTTATTTTCCCAGTCAGCTAGCCACTCCTTGTCCACATGGTCCACCACCTTGCTGCGGGTCCCCTCCGCCCTCCCAGCTGCCCATCTCCACCCCTCCTACCAATCTGGATGGGTGTTTCTTTAGTCCTTGGTTGTCAGAGTTCCACGAAGTTTGATATTCTGGCAGTTATGGTTGTTTGTTTTTTCTAATTGGTTGTTATCCTTATGGTTGTGTGAGGAAGCAAAGCATTTCTACCTATGCCTCCATCTTGGCCAGTCCCCAGCTGAAACTTCTTACACCTGGCTCCAATCCAAAGTCTGAAAGGCAGAACACTGGATGGATAGCATAGTGATTTGAAATGAAAAGATCTAATTCCTGTGGACTGACTGACTGACTATATGAACTCAATCCCCCAGCCACAGCCCACTGTAACCTTGAGTAAATTACTTCACCCACCTGAACCTGTGCCCTCTTCTATAAAGGGATACAAGAGTGTTGCCTTCTGCTTAACAGTTCAGTATAGTGCAAGTACTGTTGACACATGTACTTGGGCCCATAGTAGATGCTCAACAAATGTGATTAGTATCTGTAATCCTGGCCAACTCTGCTGGCAACAGGGTGAATGAAGTTCTCTAAGTTTCTGACACCCAGCTAGGGCTGGTTTCATCTGTGTTACCAGGAAAGGAAGACAAACTGAGTACCTGAAGAATAAATGAGCAAGACGTTCTCCTTCCTTCCTCCAATTTCTATCCTCATCTCTTCCATCTGGAAGGCTAAAGAGCACAGCTTAATGAAGGCAGTATCTGAAAGGTGGGGCCAGGAAAGAACACTGGATTTTTGGTTCTAGCGAATCAGGACCACCCATCTTCTAAAACACCTCACTCTTTCGGGAGTCCCTTCAGGGTTCACATCATCTGTAGCATGATCTGAAAGCTGCTCCCAATTTCCCTTGGCTCTGACAACTTACTGCTCAAAGAAGAATGGGAATTCAAACCTATGGCTTCCATCTAAGGGTGTGTGCATTCATTTAAAAAATGGAGAGGAGAAGAGAAAGAGAAACACATGTTGAAATTGTCCTTGTGTAGAAGGCCCAGAAATTGCCCAAAAGTTCATAATCCTTTTCTGTGACACTAGCAAAAGCTTTCAGGGACCTTCTGCCCTTGGGAGCATGCAGGATAGCCTTCCTGTGTTTGTAGTGTTAACATGATAGCTTTATGCAGAGCCTCACTTAAGTTCTTAAACAGTTTCCTTCTTTCGTCCCTATTGTAGTGAAATTAAGCAAAAAAAAAATTAGATTTAGCACTATGTTGTCTGTGCAAGGATACCCACAGTTGTTCATTCAGTCATTCAGCCATCAATTATTGATGCATAGTTCCATGAAACACTGTGATAGTGCATAGAACAATTCATTCATTCATTCATTCATTCAATCAATAAGCATTAGCTAAGCACCAACAACGTGCTAGGCACTAGGGACGCAGATGAAAAAGGAAATAGTCTTGCTTTCAAGAAGCATACAGTTCACTGCGGAGACAGGTAAGGAGTTGCACCATTTTAATATAAAATGATAGCTGTCTAAGATCTTGTTGCTTCAAGTGTAGCCTTTGGACGAGCAGCAATGGTGTCACTTGGGAGCTTGTGAAACTGCGGATTCTCAGGCCCCTCTCCAGGTTTATTCCATTGGAACATCCATCCACACCACCCCCAGGAGACTGGTGTGCTTACTTCAAGTTTGGGAAACACTGGTGTAAAACATAGTCCCTCCCACTCAAAGGCTTACAAACTAGTTAATTGTTCAAACACCCAAATGGTGGAGGAATGCACAGTTCTCTGCATTCAGCGTCCACTCCACATGGGTTTATGTCCCAGTTATTTAAATAAGAAGGAGCAAAGCAGGAGGGTCCTAGAATTAGAACCATTTACAGAGCTGAGACAAGCACTGGAAGAGTGATCCTTCTGTCAGACCCAACATCCTGCCGCTGGGTAGGCAACGCAGGAGAGGAGGAAGAGTCACAGCTTAGCCAGGCCTTGGGGGAAACGGGGTGGCTGCAACCAGGCATCCAGGTTGGCATGTGGCAAGGATCAGGCGAGCTGAAAGCAAGAAGTAGACCAGAGTGTGTCTGGAAGTTCAGAGCAAGGCTCCCAAGAAAGGAAGGCAGGAGGGAAGGCAGCAAAGCCTCATAGCTTTTTAATCATCAGATGTGGATTTGGATTCTATCTCTATGACTTTTAATGGTGTCAAGATCTATTTCCTCACCTGTAAAATCTAGCTAACAAAAGGTACCCTGTGAAGTAGCTAAGAGGTTACATAATATGTGTGAAGCATTTGGCTTTGGGGGCTGCTTAATAATAATAATATAAAAGCTAACATTTGTGAAGTAAGCAACATGCACCAATAATTATTTTTAAGGACTTTATGAATTTTCATTCTGAACAGCAACCCTATGAGGGTGATGAATTATCATTCCTATTTCACAGCTGAGGAAACAGTCACAGAGACAAAGTAACTTTCCCAAGTCACTGAGCCAATAAGCACTGAACTCAGATTCCAACCAAGGCCTTCTGGTTCTGGCCCTCCTGCCCATCCTCACTTACTTAAGACTGACTCTTATAAAAGTCACAGCTCAACAGAATGACAATTACCTCTCAGGAGCACTATGTGTTTTGTGAACAGGATGCAGAACTGGGCAGGTCATCAAACCCAAGACTCAGACATGGGGACCAAGGCCAAGGACTGGTCAAGAAGGCAGGACAGGAGCCCACTGAGTGCTGTAGCAGCAAGAGTGACTGCTGCCCACTGCATGTGGATCTGTCACTGCTTCCATATCTCCTGGCCTCAGTCAAGGTCAATGCTGACAGGTGGACCTGGGCTGGCAGGTAGAGCCCAAGCACCTCCCATCATGGGGTGGGGGTGATGCTTCCCCAGCACAAATCTATGGTCCAGCCCTACGTCTGTGAGTTCCCTCCTCCAACTCCCTGCACTCTCTGGCCCTGGCAGCTGCTCTCCAGGTGAGTGTGACTGTCACCCATCCAACAGCTGGTGGGACATGGGCAGAAGCAGGTCACCTCTCTGCTTTTAGTGGCTTCTTTACAAAAAGCAAAAGTGACTTTTGCTTTTAGGTTGATTATACAAGATGAGTATTGGCTGATATAATTTCAGTTATTTTTTTTTTGTAGATTCAGGAAGCTCATGAGAAAGCTGCTGTTGTCTATAGTAAGGCAGAATGATTGCAGATTTGAAGTGGTTTGCTGAATGAACATGCATGTTCATAGTCAGATGAGGCTGCATAGGTGCCTTGGCTCCATGCTCCCCAGAATCCTACTTAGGTGCAGTACTTGACCTCTGCCAACCCTAATTTCTCATCTGCAAAAAGTGGACACAGCAGTGCCAACTTCATAAGCTTTCATGAAATAATAGCTGTGAAACACTCTGCACCATTCCTGGTACTCAAGCAAACATTAGTGACCACTGTTGTTATTGTTGGGCTTATTTTTATTACCCAAGCAGCCTCTTTCACGCTAGGAGAACACTGAAAAGCAGGGATTATAGCTCCTCTTTGCCCAGTATTTGCCATTACACCTCAATCAGAGGCTACATTACAGAGAAAAGTGTGTGTGTGATAGTTAATGGCAAGTTACACCTGGTATCCTAAGCAGGTTTTGTCTGCAACACGAATGGAAATCCAGAGCTTGAAAGAAAAATAATAATAAAGGTTTTGCCATCAATTCCACAAAGCAGGACAAATATCTTGAAAGCAAGCTCTCAGGATTGTTAAAGCACTGGGGGCCGACCAGAAAGGTTCCCACCACCCTAGGTTTTCTTACGTTTATTCAGCAGGTATGTATGTAGAAAAATATTCAAGTATCAGAAAACAAACCAGTTGAGCAAGTGAATCATAGGAATGTCAGGGTCAGTAGCTCTTAGCCTTTCAGGTTCCTTGGGAAAGGACCTCATGAAAACCACAGTGTACGCTTCTGAGGCCCTGAAAAGAAATCCTGCTTACCCTGTGGACTTATCCCACACAAAAAATATTTGTGCATTGAAAAAGAAGTAATTAGCAAAGTGATGATTCTTATCCTGGTTCCAACTAGGTCATAAATCACTTGAATGGTCAGCAACATTGGGTGTATCTCCAAGTTTCTGAGGAGAAGGTCTATATACGATACCCCAATGTTCTATAGTCCAAAGTGATTAAAAATCATCACTTTGCTTTCTTGACCAGCCAACCACCCCACCGCCCCCCGGCCACCTTCTCAGCTGCTCTTAGGTGGGGGCCATCATACCTCAGGCAGGAATGTGGTGGCTTCAAAGATGAAAAAGTCCCTGGAGTCCATCGCTCTAGGCCCCAACTCATTATGAAAAGTGGAAAGTACACGCAGGGGTACAGCCAACTCCAAAGATGACAGACAAGGCAAACAGAAACTGGTACTGTTGCCAACAACTGCCCAACCTTGAGAAAATCCAAAATAGAGTACTGCATCATGTTGGCCAAAACTGGTGTCTAGCACTACCCTGGAAATAATATTGACCTGGGCATAGTCTGCTAGAATCACTACAGTATACATACTGGATGGCATTGACCCAGGTGCTCATGTAATCTTTAATGGTATGTCAGAACAGACAGGTAAAAAGCAAGTCATGCAAAATATTTTTGTAGTAAAACTGATCAAAGCTTACTGAAGGAAGGAGAGAAGGAAGAAAGGAAAGGAAAGGAAAGGAAAGGAAAGGAAAGGAAAGGAAAGGAAAGGAAAGGAAAGGAAAGGAAAGGAAAGGAAAGGAGGGAGGAAGGAAATAAATAAAGGCTTTGGAGCAAGTGATTTGAGAGAGGAAGTTGTATACTAGCCCCAAGACCAAAGACACTGGGTAAATTTAGCAGAGCTGAGGAGTTGCCACTTTGGAAGTCTGAATTCTGACTATGCATGCACCTCCTGATCCATGAAAGCAAACCTTTCACTGCTGCCCACAACTCTCTTGTTCCCTCTCTTTCGGGTAGGCTGTCTCCATTCACACCAGGTTCCCACCCACTCATCCTTCAGGACTGCACACCCAGGTACAAAAGCCCCTGCCATAGGATGTTCCTGAGAGGAAGACAGATGGTTCCTTCCATCACCCAAATTATTCTCAGGTGCTCCTTGCTCTTTCCCACAGTACAAAAATCCCCACACAATTGCTTAGACAAGAATCTTGTACTTGTTGGTTGTTTGCACCCTGGTCTGTGTGGCCTGGCCATTATTTATTCTGGATTCTAAACTGCCAGGGCTCCACTGCTGTTTAATTTTCTTTTATGTAGGTGGCGTTCAAAGCAAGAGTTTAATAACTAGGCTTCAACATCATTTAAAATTTTGCAGCACTGTTTGCTAACTCGGGGAGCTGGCTCTGTCAAAAGCCTAACCTGTATATTCAATTAATTCTGGGCATTTTTATTTTTTATACTGTTCTCAAATGCACTAGTTAACTTCTTTTTAAATCTTCCCAAATCTGATTGCTAATTCAGTTCCTCCCAGGTCCCTGCTTATGGGCTGGAATTTTCAATTTCTCCCCAAGAAAGGGAGAAATTCTTGTCTGGGAATGGCTTTTCAGACATTCAAAGCCCTCATTCTCTTTGTGTGGAAAAGCAGCCCGAAGAAGGCGTTTTAAATGCCATTTTGTTTGCTTGCCCCTCTTGGCTCCATCTCACCCACAGGGTGGCACAGTGCCGCTGTCTTTCCCAGGAGCAACGGGCTTTGTAATAGCTGGCGGGCTTACTCATCTCTGAATCACGCTCCAGACTGCACTCGCCTGCTTCCTGGCAGTCAGTTCTCTGCACAAACATAAGACACCAGCACACTCCCACACAACACTTACTTTTGCCCACACGAAGACCCACAGGACCCTGGGTTGGACTTCATGGGGCTCTGTTCCCTTCTCAGCTGTGGTTTATTTATTCATTTATTTGAAACACTAAGGGAGGCCAAAGATGGGTCACTGTGTACTTTCACACGCTTCTCCACTGGGTCTCCTCCCTGAATAAGGCTCGAAGTGCTCAAAATTGAGCCTTTCCACCCCTCACCCCCACTCCCCATCTAAAGCCAGGATGTGAGTCCTCTGTAAACATCCCCGAGGGGTGTGTCCCCAGTTTGAGCTCATCTGACCCAGTTAAGGAGCCAGAAAGGGAAAATGACCCGCCAGTGACGTGCTCCGGGTTCCTAGCCACCCTACGCTCCTCTCCAACTCCCCCCCGCCCCAATCCGGTGCCCCCATTGGCGACTTCGAGCGCAGCTGCAAGGGTCAAGGGGAAGGGCAGACAGCCTCGGGAGGGACAGCTTCGTGGCCGTGGTGACGTCAGCAAAGAGCAGACTCTAGGCGTGCGGCCCGGAGGAGGGGAGGGCAGCGGGGGCTCCCGGGACCCGGTGGCCAGGGGTGGGGATAGGGGGGCGCACTCACCTCTTGATGTAGCGGCTGAGGCGGCAGAGCTGCCCGTCCAGGCTCACGAGGCCGTCGCCGAAGACGTTGAAGCCCCCGAACGCGGCCGCTGGCTCTTCGGGCCCGAGCACCGTGAGCTGGTCGCCGCGCAGCTGGAGGGCGCCGGGCAGCAGGCGCAGGAGCTGGGCCACCGGCAGCAGGGCCATCTCGCAGTCGCAGGTCCACAGGCTGCGCAGCTCCCCGGACGAGATGGAGGTCAGGCTGGGCCTGGCTGGGGGTGCGCACGCCGCTGCCGCCGCCATCCCGTCGCCCGGAGGTCCTGGGTCCTCCTGCCCCTGAGCCGCCCGCGCACCCGCGAGGCGCGCTGCAGCCGGGAGTGGAGACGTGGAGACCGCGGCCCGGCCCGACGCGGTACGGCCCTTTTATCGCACTCAGTGCCGCCCCGCCCGGCCGAGGGCACGACCCCAGGCCTCCGGCCGGATTTGCACGACTAGAGCTCGGCGCGCTCCCGCCCCGCTGCGCGGCCCGCAGCCAACGGTTACTCATCCCATCCCAGGTCCCCAACTCTTCACCCGGGGCTGGGCGGACACCCGGGGCAGGGTGGGGACTGGGGCCCTGGTGTGCAGTCCAGCCCTTGGTGGGCGGGGGAGGGCGCCAGCTTCCACCCAGGCTCGAGAAACACCGCACCTGTGCGTGCGGGGGTGGGGGCGGGCGTCCCTCGCCCTCTCTCCGCACCTGGGCAACAGAGCCCTGGGAAAGCAGCCGACTTCTGACACCCACTGTAAGGCGCGTCGCAGGTTGCAGCCAGCTGCCAGACGTAGTCTCGGAGCCTGTTTCCTGCTTTTTTCACTCCAGATCGTACCCTACGTTTTCCCTCCACTCAGCCTTTCATTGCACTGGTTCCTCCCCGCATACCCTTCCTCGTACGGATTCCACGGTCCTCACGTCACTTTTCCAAGAAGCCTTTGTGAATCCCCTGTGGGTTTTATCCCGTTGCTTCTCCTCGCTTCTCCTGCACGGGACCACAGGCCGCAGGGTGTCTGCCCAATAATGGGGGTGGAGGGGATCAGCAGAGCTCCCTCCTGCGTGCCTCTGCAAGTCCCCAACAAGTTCATTTTCGCAGTCAGTATGGAGCAGCGCTTTTCAACCGGTGTGCGGCAAGGATTTTTAAAACATGCAATACCTGACTATTTAGTCTGAGGCACTGACCCTTTTCCCTTAGAATGTCAAATTTAAAAAAATGGCAACAGTCAACACAACAATACCTGTCCAATATGAATAAATCAAAACTATACCTACTTTTTGTCAGGTCAGCAAAAAAAATTTTTTTTGGTGTGCCGCAGAATTTCAGTAATTATTTTATCTGTGCCATGAGATGAACAAGGTTGAAAGTTGCTGGTCTATAAATACTTGAGTGTTCATTCCTCAGGCACACTGAATGGCTTAGTCTCCTGGGGTAGAAAATGAGGACGATTTCATTTGATTTAATTAAACAACTGTTTCCGAAACATCTACTAGGAGCTAGATAATCAACTGAGTTCTGAGAAGACTGGAAGAAATAAACACAAGCCCTGTCGTTGCCCAATTTACAGTTTAATGCGGCGGGGGTGGGGTGGGGGTGGTGGGGAGGGGGGCAGCAACGAGCTTTCCTGTCATGGAAACACACTGAATGAAAAGTGTTGGAAGCCCTGGCTGGCATAGCTCAGTGGATTGAGTGCGGGCTGCGAACCAAAGTATCGCAGGTTCAATTCCCAGTCAGGGTACATGCCTGGGTTGCAGGCCATGGCCCCCAGCAATTGCACATTGATGTTTCTCTCTCTCTCTCTTTCTCCCTCCCTTCCCTCTCTAAAAATAAATAAATAAAATCTTAAAAAAAGAAAGAAAAGAAAAGTGTTGTTGGGAGGTCCCTGGATTTACCGGAGGAGAATCCAGCCTAGTTCTGAAGAACTGAGCAACAGGCTTCCTGAAGTCCTGTAATTTAGAAATCTAAGCTAAAAGCTGGGTACAACTTAGAAAACACCTTTCATTTGTCTTTTTATGTCCTCATCATGGACCCATCCATAGACTTAAGTCCAGTGGAGAGTCCTGTTGTATCTCATTTAAACCCCAGAATATAAATAAGCGCCATTCCCAAGTCCTTCCTACAGATATAGTTCCCTCAGGCTCAGTCCCCATTGTTGAACTTCTCTAAACAAATCTAAATCACCCAGCATGCATTGATCACAACTGAATCAACCTTTCACAGAGAGGTAGGGCAAATCAGCCTGTGATGCCAGAACCCAAGGGGATTCTTTGGCAAAGTGAAGCCTGCCTACTGCACAGAGGATGGGTGTGTGGTGGGCTGAGGCCGGGGGCAGGACCCAGAGACTGGGGCTGCTTCCACTGGGTGGGGAACTGTGGTGCCTTAGACCTCGAGCGCCCTGCACAGCTGTCTGTTTGCAGATCAAACATGGACCTAGCCACTGCTGTGCATCGGGCACCATATTAAGCTCTGAAAGTGCCAACAACAGCAAAACAAATAACCCGGGTCAAGGTGAGTACTATAATACGTGCATGGACTAAGTACTTTGAGAGCAAGGTCCAAAGAGTGGTTGCTCCTACCTGGGAGGCCCCAGGAAGGCCTTCCAGAGGATATGACAAATGGGCTGGACTCCAAATACAGGGAAAGAGCTCTCAGGTGAAGGAGCTCCATCAATAAGAAACTGGGGAGAAGAGTCTAGATCAGTCTATTATGTAAAGGTATTGTTACAGAACACAACAGGGGGGGCCTGGGATGATATACTATTATTGAAAGAAGGCCCCGGGTCCGTTATGTCTGCCGCCCTAGGAAAGACGTCTCTCAATGCCAGAGATTCGTAAAAAGGAAAGGAAATGTTTATTTAATGCTATACTAACTTAAAGTAGTGATCTAATGTCTTTATCAAAAATCCTAAAGTCCCTAAAAACACCCACAAACACACAGTCTTTCCTTCCTTCCCCCTTTGCCCAGTCCAGAGTACCGTATCTCAGGAAAGGAAATAGAAGTCCATGGCTCAGGCAGTCCTCTGGTTCTTAGTTAGTCCTCCATCTCGACTGGGAGACCTCCCTGGGTTCCCGGCACCCTCGGCTGAGTCGCCAGGATCTCTGCTAAAACCAGGTGGTGGTTCCCCCTTCTAAAGCTGTGGGGGTCCCCACTCTGGCACTGGCACGTGGTCCTCTCTCCTAGGGCCACAGGAGTCTCCACTCTGTCAAGGCCGCGTGGTTCTCCTCCTCTGGGATGGGGGAGTCTCCACTCTGCCAAAGCCACGTGGTTCCCCTCCTCAGGGCTGCAGGAAGGGAGAGTCCCCACTCTGTCCAAAGCCGCGTGGTTCCCCCTCAATGGCTGCCATGTCTGGGTTTAAATCCCCGGTGCCAATCTTCTTCTGCAGCCCCATTTCCGACTCTTCCTACACTTGGGCACACTTGCCCTCAATCTGCTGTCTTCTCCAGCTTTTCTGGTCGCCATCGTGGGTCTGGGCAGGTGTCACCCCATGTCATGGAGCCAATCTTCTCCCAGCTCCCACGCAGGCGCTATAACTCAGGGGACCTGCCCCCCAGTCACATCTTGTGGGGGCAGATCCCTTTCCATCCCCCTTGCCTTGAGCATGGCCATAGCTATTTAGCATATCTAACTGACCAGCCAAAGGCTATAGGTATGCTAAATGACCATGCCATGGATTAGCTGCAAAGGGGCCCTGCATGTTCTTGCTCCGTGTGCCCCTTCCCCCAACTCACACCTGTTGGGGGAAGGGGTGAAGACACCTTAAAATCTCCGGGACACCTTGAGTTCTGGACCCCATTTCAAATGCCTATTTGGGGTCCCCCCTCTTGGCTGCACCCTGTAACAGTATGGCCCTACTTGAGGCATGGGGTATTTCGTATGGCTAAAACAGACCAGGCCTGTTTGGGGCAAGAGGTGAGTTTTATAAGAGATGAGACCAGAAAGGGAAGTTGGAGCCAGACTGTGAGAGGCCTTCTGAGCTAAGAACTTGGATTCTAAGGCAATAGGAAATTTTTTACTGTTTTCAAGGAAGGAAGTAGTATGACTATACCTGAGTTTAGATACTATTGGCTATGGCCGCAGAGATGATATTTTGAAGTAGGAAAACTGGATGCAGAGAGACCAGTTAGGAGATGGGTTTCATATCCAGGTAAGATACAATGAGAGTCTGAACTGGTTTACACAGCAGCTGTGGGAATTGAAATGACAGGATAGATTTGGGATACATTTGAAATAGAGTCAGCATGATTTGCTGAGCAAATAAATGGAAGAGGAAAGAGTGAGACAAAGCAGTGGGAAGAGACAGCCTTTCGCTAGACAGACGATGTAACTACTAATGGAACATCCAAGTGGAAAAGTCTGTGAGGCAGCTAGTTAGCTGCATCTGCAATTTTGGAGGGAAGACAGGGTTCATGATTAAAATTGGAAAGTCACTGGCTTGAAAACAGGAGTTGAAGCTAGAGAAGTAATAGGGTAGAAATTTGAACCCCAGGCTTTCGTTTATTTCCACAAATGTTTATTGAGTACCTGCTATGTTCCAGGACTGGGGGTTTGCTAGAGAGTAAGAGGTGACAAATAGAAGATGGCCCTGTGCTTCTGCAATGAGGAGGAATGCAGGGAGCAGCATGGCTCATCTTCTGGTACAATGTCTAGGCTTAGCACTGAAATCTACTCGCATTTTGGGTATAGCATTTCTGGGATTTACTGATGGAATACACTCTCAAAAATAGCAACAGAGTTGCCTTCTCAACTTTCAGGTCAATGAAAGCAGGTCTACTCCGTCGCCCCGCCCCACACCACATAGATGGAGCTCAATACTGTTGAGTGCCCTTAAACCTGCACTGTCTGTAGATGATTTGGCTTTGTTGAGGGGTGAAATGTAGCATCAGTTTTATGTCAGAGCTAAATGCACTTGGTTAGTATAAACACAGCAGTTTCTCCTATCAAAATCTGTTCCTGTTATTGTAAATATCAACATTTATTACCTGAATAGAAGAATTAAGTGAGATTTTTCTTTGCCTCTCCATACTTCTCTGACTTTACAATTTTTCTGCATTTTCCAAATGAGTGTATGGTTTGTACAATGAAATGATGTTGAGCACAGAATAAAAACATTCTGAAGATGCTTGCCTGATGGGTTATGTAGAGGTTTCCCTTGATACATTTTCAGGAAAACACCTGCATTTCTTTTTGGATAATTTTTGCTCTATCGAAATCCCGGAGAACAATGTGAAAAGTGAACAGAAAAACAAATAACTCTGGTTGTCATCGCCATTGCTAATCAGTGAAGAGCTATAGCCATAGTTCTATGTTTAGTATCTTTTCATTATCAAAGCAATAGCCAGGCAAACAAAAATCACTGCTAGTGAAGATATTTTAGTCTTTTTTTTTATATTGTTGGCTTATTCACACAGTTGTGTTGACATTGTAGAATTTTTATCTTACACTTAACAGTATATGGATAGCATGTTACAAAAATTATCTAAGTTATATTTTAAGCCACCATATTGTCTTCCATCATGTGAGAGCACTGGACATCTCTTTACATGTACATGCTTTGATTCATTTTTCCTTATTCTAAACAATGCTACAGTGAATATCTTTCACTTTTATTTGTTTCTGCATCCAAACTCTCAGAAATGACATTATTGAGACAAGTAATGTGACAATGTGTGAGGACCTTAAAACACATACTATTATCTTCCCAAAGAATTGTACCAAACAGTTTTCTCACCAAGAATGAGTTTTCTTGGCTTTAACCATCTGGTATTAGGATATCCCACCTCACTGTATTTACAAACAAGTAGCTATGATGTTACCATTCAGGCTTAGAGTCCATTTATCACTGAGCCCATGGGTGTTGGGAACTGCCCTGCCTGGTATCAGAAGCTGTAACCCCCGCCAAGGCTAAGGCTGAGGGAGGGGCCTTGGACCGTAAGCCAGCAAGGAGACAATAGCTTATCTCCCT